TGTAGGTACCAAAGCCACAAACCAAAAAGGACCAGGTGTGGAAGCTGCCAACCAGTCAAGCCCAAAGAAGTATTCAGAGGTAGCACGCCTTGCCCTGTGCCTCTCCTCAGCTATGCCCTGACCCAGACAAGGTCCCTGACAGTACACCAGCAACACAAATGAGTTCCCGAGTCCGTGGTACCTCCCCAGTGAAAGACTTAAAGGGTCATGGGGAGGGAGAGATCATAGGAAGCCAGCCTGTGAGACAGAAGCAAGGAGAGCCACTGGTATGAGACAGAGCCCTCAGCTCATGGAACAGTGTTGGGTCAGGGTTGCCCAGTAAATCTCTGGCAGGACTTGGGAGGCTGGTGGATTTTTGCTAGTGGGTAAGAAGCCCTCTATGCTTTCTGGTGAGCAGAGGTCATGGGATTATAGTCTGCCAACTGTTGCAGGGGCAAATATGCTTTTGTTTTGCCTTTGAGGGTAAAAAGGTCTCACATAGTCCAGGCTGGCCTAAACTTCTTTCTGATCTTGCTGCCTGGCATTACTAGCACGAAGCATCATGTCTGGATGATGAGGGTCCTTGGGATTCAGGGACCCAGAGTTCTGATGGCAGCTGTCACCATTGCTAAAGGATGAGGGCCTCATCACACATCCTCACATCTGGAACAGACAGTACACTATGGATCCTGTCAAAGGACCAGCTGTGCAAATAGTTACATCTAAACGGGAACGGCAGGAGCCCTGACCTAGTGAGGACAGTGGCACTGGGGCTGCCCAGCCACAAGTCACATGGGACTACTTAGCTTCACACGGATTGCCATTTAAAATTAAATCACAATGGTCATATTTCATATTGATACGTGGCAGGCCAGATAGCATGACTCTAGAATGCTCCCATCATCACACAGAGGAATGGGGCCCATGCTGGTCTAGCATCACCACTCTTTGTGACAGTTTAGAGTAGGCATGGGAGGTGGTTGAGTGCCAACCTGGTCAGAAAACATCCTAGGACAGTCGTTATGTGTGTCCGGCTAGTGATGTGCAAGTCTGTACCTGCAGTCTTAGAGCTAGATAAAGGGGCAATCAGTGAACTGATGAAGCACCTCCAGGGGTGCGGGAGCTCCAAAAAGTGCTGGAGCTGCAAAAATGAGGGCCTATGTTTCATCCCAGCACCCACATTTAAAACAAAACATAAAACAAACAAACAAACAAACAAAAAATCAGAAAAGGCAATATTGCTGTAATTCCAGCACTGGGGAGGCAGGGACAAGAAGATCCCCAGTGCTCACTAGCCAATCATTGTAGCCTAAGCAGTGAGCTCCAGGTCCTTGTAGTAATAAGGGCGGCGGGGCTGGGTCCCCAGCACCCCAGCCGCCCGCCCGGCTAGCTCAGTCGGTAGAGCATGGGACTCTTAATCCCAGGGTCGTGGGTTCGAGCCCCACGTTGGGCGCCATGCCCCGCTCCCGGGATGAAGCTCCGACCCAGGATGGACATAGGCTAGAATCTTCCTGGTAAGCGCACCTTGGGGTGCCATACATAGATGATTAGAAATGGGCTAAATTAATATGTGAGAATTAGCCTAGAAGAGAATGGGCCAAGCAGTGTTTAAATGAATACAGTTTGTGTGTTGTTATTTCGGGGCATAAGCTAAGCTAGCCGTGCGGGCGGCTGGGGTGCTGGAGTGACAGCTCTCCTCTTGGGAGCAGACGCCTCAGGGAGACGCCATACTCCCAGCTCCCAGACAGACACACACCATGAAGCTCGACCCAGGATGGACTAGGCTAGAATCTTCCAGGTAAGACCGGTGCTCACCGATTATTAGAGATGGGTTGATCGGGATATCAGAATTAGCCAGTAAGGGCTAGGGCTAAAGGGCCAAGCAGTGATTAAATAAATACAGTGTCCGTGTAATTATTTCGGGGCATAACCTAGCCGAGCAGGCGGCCGGGGTGCCGGGGACGCAGCCCCGCCGCCCTTATTACTACAGGTCCTGGTGAGAAATTCTGTCTCAAAAAACAAGGTGGAGAATTTGGGCTCAGTACTGCAAACCTGGTCAGGAGCCCTTGTCTGGGGAGGTCCTGTGGGAACCCTGCTGCTGTTGCTTTGTGAAAGGGGCATAGCATTGAGCTGCCTTCTAAATAGCCATGTTTATAACCATGGATTAATGCTGCTCTCAGCCTGCACCAGAGAAGCTCTTCTTTGTAGTGGGCTACCGTTAGTGCAGAGACTCAGACTGATTGCTCAGCTATACACAGGACATCAATGTGACCTCCTCTAAGGCTCTGGGAACATTGTGGGGGAAAGAGCAGAAAGAATGTAAGAGTCAGGATGGCAGGAGCACTAAGAAATGGTGTCTTCTGGACATGTAGTGGCCACTGCAACCATAGGCTCATGGCAGTGCTGGCTGTGTGAGATTTACAGAAGTCTGAGTCCATCACCATTCCAGCATGGATGGGGAGGTATTCTTTTGCCCTACCCCTCCCTGAGTAGCTAGAGGCAATTAATGATTGCTGCAGGTGTGTGTGTGTGTGTGTGTGTGTGTGAGAGAGAGAGAGAGAGAGAGAGAGAGAGAGAGATTCCTCAGTGAGTGGTGTAGCCATTGGCAAGTTGCTCCTACTCAAGTAAATACCCACCACACATATTCCCATCTCTACAGAGAGCAATGCAAGCAACACTAATTAAATATGGTAGAGAGCACGTGTGCACGTGCACACACGCGTGCGTGTGCGTACACACACACACACACACACACACACACACAGATATAAAGTAGAAACAGAAAGGTGGTTCCACTGGTAAGAGCACTTGCCACTGAGTCTAATGCCCTGAGGTCAATCCCAGGGCCCCCCATATTGGAAGGAGACAACTCCCCCAAGTTGTCCTTTATTCTCCATGCATGCAATTAGCATGTGTACCTCCCTCAGCATAGAAATTTATATTAAAAATTTAAATTCATTTTAAAATTTAAATTAATTTTAATTTATTAATAATTATATGTATTTATAATTGACATTAATAATTAATGTTAATTAGATTAAAATTTATAATAAAAAGTTATGAAGGTCAGTGAGGGACTTAGTGGTGGACAGTTGAGATTTGGCAGGAAGAAGAGGACATGAGAGGGAAACACATTATATGAATGTGCATGTGTGTGTGTGTGTGTGTGTGTGTGTGTGTGCATGCGCTTGTGCATGCCCATGTAACTGAGGAATAATAAATACAATTCTTAAAAATAACAAGATAGAGAGCAACCAGGAAACACTCCCAATGTCAACCTCTGGTCTCCACAACCAGGTCGTACCTGTATATTCATACACACACGCACACACAAGACTGTGGTACACACAGAAAGGTATGAGGAAGGTACTTGAGGAATCTGGGGCAGGCTGGTGACTTTGAGCCATTTCTAAGAGGAGCTGGGAAGAAGAGCAGGGCTTCCCTGGGAGAGAAACCAGTGTGCAAGACACAGCCATGCTACCCAGAAAGTGCAGGATAAGCAGAACGTGTTATGACATTCAGCTGCCCAGTAGGGACAGGAATGCCCAGGGACACTGAGGCTGGAGCCAGGCCTCAAGGCTGCTAGCCATTTGGCACTACTAGATTGCTGTTCAAAGGTTTTGCTCTTGATTGTGGGGTGACAATAGGGCACTTGGAAAATGAGTGGTAAGTGTTGTATGGACCACAATTCCTAAGACAGAAAGGCATACACCTGCACCCAGAGGTCTTTATCATACTGCCACCATACTTTCCTTGGCTCATCCAGTGACAGCAGTCCCCAAGGAGAGACACAGACAATTCTTGAAAGGTGGAATTGCCAAGACTCACTGAGGAAACAAGATGGTGATATTTTGTTTGTGTTATAACAAATGAAACTTGCCTGAGTGTAGAGCGAGCCACGAGTTAGCCATAGAGGCTGGGCAGTGGTGGCACACACCTTTAATCCCAGCACTTGGGAGGCAAAAGCAGATGGATGTCTGTGAGTTCAAGGCCACCTTGGGCTACAATAGATGGATCCAGTCTCAAAGAGAAACAGAAGCAGTGGTGGTTCACACATTTAGTTCCGATACTTGGGAATCACGTGCCTTCAATCCCAACACTTGGGAGGTGGAGACAGGAGTGAAATGGCTGGGGGGAAAGAGGAGTATAAGGCGGGAGAAGACAGGAGCTCAGGATTCACTCTGAGGTTTCGTAGGTAGGGCAGACAGTCTGAGGACTTGTAGAGATAGGATACCCTTTGGTCTGAGGATTTCCTAGAGGTTCTTAACTAGTTCTTAACTTGTGGCTGGCTGCTCTGCTTCTCTGATCTTTCAGCTTTCACCCCCTACTATCTGACTCCAGGTTTTTTTTATTATTAAAACCAATTAGAATTCACACTACAGAACCAACCATGAATGTACCAGCTTCTTGCTTGAATAGCAGCAGACGGCGGTACTGCTTAACACAGCAAGCATGGAAAAAAAAAAAAAAAACACCAAGATCATCAGAATTGTCATTACTGGTAAAAGATTAGAGAGTGTGACACATTTACCCCAGGGTGCCATCAGTACTCCTAAAGACCCCTGCTGACCTTTTCTTTCCTTCCAGCCTTTCCCCCAGCCCCGTGCTCAGCCATTTCCAAACACCAAAGCTTTCAGAATTTATGTCACCGTTCACAGCCTCAGCATCTTACAGCGCTGTTCCGTCCTGTTATGCTGCCGAGACCCTCCATCTTTCAAGACTGATCCCCAGCACCTTCTCTATAAAAGCATGACCTGACATCAGGGAGCACATTGGGGGCCCCTTTGGACCTTTACCACGGAACAGCAGTTAGTACCTTATCCTGCCTAGGGTAGGCAGATGACCCTGTTAGCACGATGTTGGCTCCCTAGGCTGACCAAGCCAGAGCTCCAGCCCTCATGGCCACCTCTGGATGGAACAGGAGTCCCTCCCAGGTGGCCCGTCCTGCTCCATGAACACACCCCCTGCCCATGCCTCTGAAACCAAGCATGCTTGAACACATTTTATCCTTTCACAAGTTACAGTGTGTCACCGTTTATTTTCCCAGGTGTCCAGGAATCAGACATGACATGACACCTCATGAGTGAGGAGGTGGGGTTTTCCAGTTGTGCTGGTCCGGACTGCTAAGTGGCAGGAAGCAGATTAAGTACCAAAAGTTCCCCTCCATGGCCCAGCCATGCTGGTGAGAACTCCAGCAGGAAACAAGACTCAACGTGTCCTGGGATGTGAGAATGTGCGAAGGACAGCCCAGAAGAGGGGACAGCTAGAGTCACTCAGGACCACAGTGTCCACACACCCTGTGGCTGGCATGTTCTTTTATGTCTGTCACCAGGGTCCTAGTTAGCTCCCACTTATGGACACCCAGGTTGGAAGAAGCGTCACCTCTACTCATCTCTCCTGCAGGACTCAGTGCCTGTGTCGGGGCTGCGTGGGACAGCATGGCTCCTGAACATGTGTGTTTTATGTTGTGGGGGCTACAGTGAGTGTCTTTACCGAGAAGACTGGTCAGGTTCCTGTGAGACAAGGCCACGGTGGGGAAACCTTTATTCCAGGGCTTTGGCCATCAGGGGGCGCTCTTCTCTTTGAGATTTAGGAAAACGACGGTGAGGAAAAAGGAGACGTACACTTCACAGATATTTACAAACGGCACTACTGAGCAAGTCTGTCTTTGAGGCGGTCTGTGTGATACATACAAAGGAGCAGGGACGAAGGGAAACAGATGGGCTCCTGCCTCTGAGGAACGCGGAGGACGGGAAGCACAGAGGCCTGCACAGAGGCCTGCACAGTGGGGGTGTAAGGCGGAGGCGATCCTCTTCAGAGGGACCGTAAAACTAAACTCTGCATATATGTCTTCTTATGTGTAAGGAAGCGATACTTTTTAATAAAATAAAAACTTCTGTGGAACTTGAAAGATATCATTTAGGCAACTAAGGGGGTGATTTTGGAAGGGCACAGTACACAGAGCACTAGTCGGGGGCACCCTGTCAGGTCGACATTCATTCCCCAGAAAAGATCCATCACAATAATGGCAAAACATCACAGTCCCACTGCCTCTCGGACATGGGCCTGGCTCCCCTGCCTCAGCCCGCCTGCATCCTGGTCATGCTCTGAGGAGTGTCACGCTTACCAGCCCTGCTGTGTCAGGGTCTGGCACTGGCGAGCCTTTCACCCGCCTCCTGTACACATCTTTGCCCAAGTGCCTAGCACAGGCGTGGGCACACCACACACCAGGGCACTGGAAAGGTGCTGGGGTGGCCGAATGCTCTGGCCCATCTCCTACGATAGCTGGCTGTGGCATTGCCCTGATCTCAGGTTGTGGCGGGAAGGAGCGAGTCAAGCTGGCACCTGGCCCTAAACTACAGGGGGTGCATCCTTGCTGCAGAAGGTACCATGCCTGCTGGATGCTCCTCGGGGCCTGGCCCCACCCCGCCTCCCTCAGGCACCCCGCCTGCCTCACTGACACAGAGAAGCAGAGGAAAAGTGCAGGAGGGGGATCTGGGAGAGGGGCAGTGGGGTCCTTCGGCTCTGCCCCCCAACAGGCTCCTGGAAAGACGCTGGCGGCTGTCAGAAGAGCAGGGCTTTCTTCTTGAGGTCATTCCTCTTCCACAGGGCCAGGCGGTCAAACTCTTCGATGCTCATCCCAAACACTTCTTGGAACTCCTCAGGTGACAGGTGTCTCTTCAGACAAGGGAAAACAGGGACAGTCAGTGAGTGGTGCTTGAAACTGGACTTGAGAAGAAGTTGCCTACGTTCTGAGAAACACTGGCTTCTCACCTGGACCTCTGTTGTAAAGGCAGCGCGGAGGCCTGGCCCCTTTGCATTCTGTGCCTGTCCTTTGGGTCCAGTTCCTACTTAGTTCTGTGCACAGGCTTAACCATGCAAGGCTACCCAGCCTATCTATGACCCTTGAGGACGATCAGTGCAAAGATAAGAGCTGAGGCTTCTAGGACAGTGTTTACTGTGTCCCACTCCAGACAGAAAAGGAGCCTGAATGTCTCCAGTCCTTGTTCTTAGCCTAGAGTTACCTTGGATTCCAGGAATAACAGAGACTCACAAACACATCCCCATGATAAAATCACACAGTCTCCCAACCCCAAAATTGCCTCACGGGAACCTTCTTGTCCCTCAAGCGAGAAGGACTTCTGACCACCTGGCAGAACCAGAAGTGACACAGTGACCAAGCAGGCCACTGCTGGACCAGGACTGAGCATGTCCGCTCCCCTCTCATCCTGGTCCGGTCCTCCAGCTGCTCCAGATCTACAGCTAGATCACGTCAGTGCCCGGGATGGCTGGAAGGCTTGCTCTCCATCTTCCCAAGGCAGCTGCAAACTGACCTTTGTCTCACTCCACCGCTGAGCGGTCATGCTAGGGCCAGCGGCCAAGTCTGGCCCATCATGACTGCAGGCTCTGCAGCTTTTGTCCTAGAAATCTGCATACAGCTTTGCAGCAGCAAGCCTGCCAGGCCAGCTCCCTGTGGCTCTTCCGTGGAGCAGGGCTGCTACTGAGGATGAGTGATCTCGTTGGCATGTCCAGGGCTTCTTTGCAGCGAAAGAAACAAAGCCCAGAGGGCAGTCTTGGTAGGGATACACAGGGACTGGCATGGGGCTGCCATAGCACCCTTGACTACCGATTCCCACGGACAAAAGTTCCCTGTGGCCAAGTTCAATAGCCATGCCCTGCAACAGGACTCCTGCCTGCTCAGAGCCTTTGGGCTGTAGACTCCTATAGGCTGACTCATTGACCGCTTTCTTTAATTGGGATCGCGACTATTAAGGCAGTATATTCTGTTCTACTCCCATCTCCCAGCTGAGAAAGCCAAAGGGTATGTGCTGGCTAGTCTTATGTCAGCTTAACACAAGCTGAAGTCATCTAAGAGGAGGGACCTCAATTAAGAAAATCCATCGGAGGCCGGGCGGTGGTGGCGCACGCCTTTAATCCCAGCACTCTGGAGGCAGAAGCAGGCAGATCTCTGTGAGTTCAAGACCAGCCTGGTCTACAAGTGCTAGTTCCAGGACAGGCTCCAAAGCCACAGAGAAACCCTGTCTCGAAAAACAAAATAAAAAAAAAAAAAGAAAATCCACTGGGTGGTGGTGGCACATGCCTTTAATCCCAGCACTCGGGAGGCAGAGGCAGGCAGATCTGAAGCCTGCAGAACATTTTCTTAATTAGTGATCGGTGGGGGAGGGGGGAGGGCCCAGCCCATTGTGGGTGGTGCCATCTCTGGACTGGTGGTCCTGGGTTCTACAAGAAAGCTGGTTGAGCAAGCCATGGTGAACAATTCAATATGCAACTCTTCTCCATGGCCTCCATAGCTCCTGCCTCCAGGTTCCTGCCCTGCTTGAGTTCCTGTCCTGACTTCCTCTGATGATAAACAGAGAATGGAAGTGTAAGCCAGATAAACCCTCTCCTCCCCCAAGTTGCTTTTAGTCACGGTGTTCCATCGCAGCAACAAAGCCCCTACCTAAGACAGGTGACCATGCAGCAAGAAGTCAAGCTGGGCCCAGGCCATGGCCCAAACCCTCCCTCGCCTTGGCTCTGACATGTGGTGCCAAACCAGTCATTCTGAGTCACTGAGCCCGACTCCTGAGTTGGGGTGTGCGAGGCTAAAAAATGTCAGCACCTCCGTGGGGCTTTGAGAGGAAGTCTGAACACCTGCACCATGGCCCCCCCTCCTGATGTTTTGGGGATTGGGTGGGTAGAGTCAGAGCTGATCAGCATTTAGTATTAGGACCAGCTGTGACTGTGTGCATGGGTTCTGGCTTTGCTCATGGTGGTCCCCAATAGTAAGAACAATCCTGATAGATCCCCATATTATAATGTGGGCTGTCCCTTGAGCACTCCTGGTTCGTTATTCTCACAGCTGCCTCACACACCAGGCTGAGGAGTCACTTCTCAGCCGAGTTTGGAGGTGCACACCTGTAAGGCTACCATTTGGGAAGTGTAGGCCGAGGGTCAGGAGTTTAATGTCATCCTCTAGTTCAAGGCCAGTCTGGGTCGAGACCCCATTTCACTACCCACACACCCTTCTAAGAAAATAGAGGAAAAGAAAAAAAAAAACCACTTCATGTTCCTTGAGGCACACTCAAGTGACCTAAGATAATCCCCTAGGCCCCTCTCTTCCCCTCAGCTCAGCAGGGAGAAAGGAGGGAAGCTGGAGATAGGATAGGGTAGCAAGAAAGCAAGAGGGAGTAGGCCTGGCTAGGACAGTCTCCTGCCAACTTCTTTCCCCAGCAGGACCTCTTGACTGTTATGGGAAAGAAGGGGGCAGGTCCTCAACAAAGTAATGGAGTGAGGGATAACAGCTCTCCTGCCCGAAGCAGAAACCCAGAACAGAGATAGGGACTCCCACGGTCCTCAAGTGCCCACCTTCACTGCATTCATCCCAAGGGTCAAACGCAGAAACAAGCCAACTTTTGACAGTGGGAAAATAAGATGCAGTGCAGTATCATTAAACCCAGAATAACATGAAGCTATAGGCCTCAAAAACATCAGGCCAAGTGCGAAGAGCCAAATGTACCGCACATGGCATGACTCCGCTGAATGAAATGTCCAGAGCAGGCCTGGAAGAAACAGAAGTGGATTGCTGGGGGCGGGGTGTGGATGAGAAGGGTGGGTGCCTTGACTGATGAAGGGCGTGGGGGTTTCCTTTCTGGGGGATGAAAACATTCTGGACCCAGATGGCGATGATGGTTGTGAAACGGGAAGGGTGCAGATGCATGAGTTGCACACTTCAAAATGCTAAAAGCAGCGAATTTTGCCACAATTAAAAAAATGTTGGCAAAAAAGAGTACAGTTTCCACCACTTTAAAGCAAAGACACCAAAGGTCGTAATGATCAAGAGCGAAAAATGATGAGAGATGGGTGTGGGGACACACGTGAGCAATCTCAGCATTTGGTAAACTGAGGCAGAAGGATCAGGAGTTTAAGGCCAGCCTTGGCTACATAGCAAGTTCAAGGACAGGCTGCACTCTAGGGGATCTTGTCTCAGAATGGGCTAGAGAATGCTGTAATCTCTGAAAAGCATAAAAACCAAATCTTGTTACTGAAATTGTGTTGCGTGCTCTGAGTTTTAGAAACCCGGGAGTGGGTGATCTAGAAGACAGGCCTGGAGTCACACACATGCACACAGCCACGTTCACAGCCTCCACCAAGCCTCCCAGAGGAGGAAACATGTGCCTGGTGAGACCAGGGTGACTTGATGGGCTGAGAAGGTCACTTCTAGACCACCAAGATGTAGAAGATACTGTGTTGTCTTACCAGAGCACATTGAGGCCTGCTCCCACTCTTCTGACTTACTGGAGGAGGCTCTCAGAGAGGCCAAGGGCACTAAGAGGAAAGGGTGCCTGGTGGGCTGGGATGAGACCAGTTTAAGAGGACCACCAGAGGTGGAAGTGCTGGGGAGCTGGCTTGAGGTTTTGGTCCCTGGTTTTGTTGGTTGTTGTTTGAGACAAGGCCTCACTGTGCAATCAATCCAGGCAAGAACTGAGCTTACTATGTAGTAAAGGCTCGCTTCAAACTCCTGTCATATTCTGTGGGATGCTCCCTGCACAGCCCAGGAGAGCTGGTTACAAGTGAGAACATGGAAGGGGCACACATATGATGGCTGGTATTAAGAAGGTGCATTGACTGGAGTGGTGAGGGTGGCAAGACAGCTGGCAGGGAAAGACCTGAGGCCAGTGGCCCTCGCCCCACCACATACCCAGTTCCTGAGGTATTTGCTCATCTTGGAGGGGACTAGGACTTGATTGCCCAAGTTCTGTTGAGTTCCAGAGTGTGGGTAAGAATCAGAAGAGTTAGTGCCTGGCAGAGGATCTATTGTGTGTCTCCTGGTCTAGGGCCTCTGGTTCTCTAAGTGCCCTCTCTTGGAGGAAGAACTATGAGGTATAGCTAACTACAGGGACCCATGGAGCTGTTTTAGCTCAGCTTTTCCCTGGCCCCTGGTTCCTCAGGTGCTGCCAGTGCCAAGGACTCCAAGCTTCTTCCATAGCTACAAGAAGGGAGACCCTCTTGGCGCCTTCCAGAGAACGGGCCAGTCTCACTTCTGGGGGATATTGTTGTGTGGTAGGAAGTCCTAGGGCCTTCAGCACCTTTCTCCCTGGGTCACCAGCAACATCTCCAATTTCTCTAGGCCTTGACTCAAATGTCAGCTCTTCCTGAGGTGAGGGTGCCTGAATTGTGGTACCCAAGGTCACACAGAGTTCCCTGCACCAAAGTCCAGCTAACCTGGTTGACTCGGCTCCAGAAGGGCACTAGGTCTCTGTTCCTCAGGGGGACACATGTGTGACTGCTGTCCTCTAGGGCCCCTTCTGTCACCTGCCTCTGTCACCAGCTCCAGAGTGAGCTCCCTGGCAGCTGGCATCCACCAGAGCCCCTGCCCAAGTCTATCTGTCCTCTCACACAGTCCTCAAGTGCTTCTCCGCCTGGATCAGGAAGAACCTGGGGGCCTGACCTGAGGGCTCTGAACTTCTCATGGTCACCCTTGGCCATCAGGGTTCAAGGTGTTCTGTCCTCATCATACTGAATGGACAAGTTTGAGCAGGGAAAGGCCACGTGAACCTCGGGGTCCTCGCTTCCTAGGTGGAGTTACCCTGGGATTATTGCACCAACAAACACAGGCAGTTAGCCTAAGGGTATGTGAGGACCAGCAGGGAAAACCCAGACCCTCTGCAGCAGCCTCTTCCTAGTCAACAGACCCTGGGGGCCCACAGAAAGAACTCAGAACCCCAACCCAGGAGCCACCCACCGTTGAGTGGCACATCAACGTGGCCACATAACCTTAGCTGCAGACAGGAGCCCCTCCAGCACCTCACCCGCCTTTCTTGATATATACATTGTATATACCAATTCTTCTAAGCCCCAGGGCTGGGGGTTTGATCAAACATCGGCTATATGTTACTGCAAAGGTGTTGGGGAGGCATGGTTATCATCCAGTTACTGTCTATGAGAAAATGGTTGCCCTAGAAAATGCGGTTGGGGCTCAGCCAACGTGTTGAAAGCTGTAAGAACCAAAGGAGAGGAAGTAAGCTCAGCCTCTTGAGTTGCCACATCTCAGAAGTCCCAGGATTTGTGAAGCTCTCCTCTGAGCATGTGCCTTGGCATGCGTTCCGCACCTGCACATGTATGTTTGTATATGTCTGTGTGTTTGTGTGCATGTATATGAATGCATGTTTCTAAGGTATATGTCTCAATCTTTATAGTTGTGAGAAAATATAATGAGAAAAACAAGTTGAAGACAGGTTTGTTTGGCAATTCATCTACATACTGTAATTGATCTAGAAGATCCGCTAGCAGAGCGGCTACAAGTGCTGAATCCCATCTCCGCCTCTTGGGTACCATGGCCCTGGAAGCCATCTGGGTGCCTCGTGATGTTGTGAAAGAAGTGTTAAAATATGCCACGTGCTTGGAATGCAGCCGACCACACAGAAGGGACAGCAGCATTATCTGCCATGCTAAGCCATGTTCATGCTGTCTACGTCTGCCAATCAGGGCACTACGAAAGCACTTTTCTCCCCCGGCTGACTACACAGCCCTCCGTCCATGTACAGAGTCGTATACAACACTACTTCTTCCTGTTTCTGGAAATCATCATTTTGGACCACATCCATGGCCCTTCTCCATGGCAATCTAGGTATATGCGGGGGTATCACTCAGTTTAGAAGATGGGAGGCACACAGGTGGACACCTGCAGCTTAGCACTGTAGATGCTCAATTAAGTATCTCTGCGCCTTCATTTAAATGCTTACAACTGTCCAGCTGTGAGTGGCAACTCTATCCTAAGGGCCCTTCAGGAAGCCAGCCTTCCTGTGACTTCTTGGCCAGATGGGGGCAGAATCCCATGGACTGGCACAGAAAAGGTCTGTGTCAAATCTCAGGGAAGAAGCAGGCGTTGAGCTGAGTATATAGTGAGTGAGCCTTCTTTACCTGAAAGACAACTCAGTTACTGTCTGAGTCATGTGAGAGAGATTTGTGGAAGCTTGTCCGCTCTGAAGAGATAGCAATGGGGACTTCCAGAAGGCGTTTCCCCTTCCCATTCCTCTTTTTGGCTTTATGGACCTTTACAAGTTATAATTTGGTTTCAGTTATAAAACTAAAGCTCTCTCCCATGGGGTGGGAGTGGGGGGAGTCTGTTACTGTAAAAGAACCCCACCACACCCCTTCCAGGGCCACATCCCTGTCCCCAAGCTGATGAGGAAGAAAAGACAGATGTGCCCGCCCCACTCTGGTAACTGCTCCAATTCCTGGGGCTGGCTGAGCTTGAAGGGGAAGATAGCTAAGAGTCATACTCTTGGGTGTGTTCACCTGGATATGAAAGGTTTAATCCCCTCCCTAGGCTACAGTTGGCTTCAGCAAATACACAAGCAAAGCAGAAGTCACCTGAGACACACCCCAGCCCTACAGGGAACAGGGAGCCCTGGCAAGCTCTCAAGAGACTGGAGGAGCTACTACTGATGTCATCTGAGCTCCGAGTATCATCTAAGGGTGAAGAATTTAGTCCAAGAACCCTCAGTAGGTTACCCACAAGGACACACCTTTTAAGGAGCCAAGACACAAATCAAATAGGATCCCTATAGGCTGACCCTGATCCTGACCCATGAACTGCCAATGACCAGCTGCACTCCTTTATACAGTTAGCAGTACTCTTGGCCATGACCCCATCACCAACAAGCCCAGCTTCATCCAGAGAGCAAGACGTCCCACTGTGGACCATTGAAGCCAATGTCATAACTGACACCCAGGCAAGAACTCGTGAAGCCCACTCTCCAAGACCATAGGCAGAAACCTGCGCTTTAGAATCCTCCAGGCTCTCCGTACCCTGCCAATCTCATACAGCTTCCTAACCAACCTAGCTGTTGGCCCTTCCCATGAATGATATGCCCATCAAAATACACAAAAATGTTCCCGGGGCCTTTCTTGTTTGCAGTGAGCTCTGGCTCCAGGTTCCTTGGCTGGTATGATGGACATGTACCATGTGGACTGCTGCTCTGAGTGACTACTTATTGGCGATCTTGCTGTGTTTTGCTATGCTGTCTTGTCCCCTCCCTGACCCTCCCTGCATTAGACACTTGCCACCTGCCTGTTGCCCAGCAGCCTCTTTCCATCTCAGATGGCAGGTCTCAGTTTCTTCCAGGAACAACCTGGGTCTCCCCAGCTCAGGTGACACCAGCTGCCCCCTTAACTCCAGGTAAGCTGGTTGCTCAGGCCATGATATGCCCTGGGTAGAACTGGTTGGGTTAAGGGTGGGGTGGGGCAATGACTACCCAGAGGCTCAGTGCGGGTTGTATGAAGACAGATGAGAGAGAGATGGAGCTTAAGCTCTGGAGGGAGCCGGTGTAGAAGGAGCACAGCCACTGGATATGCAAATACTCTCAGTCCTAGATCCAGCGATACCCAAAAGGGCCCTTCAGTCACATGAATTCATTGCTTTCCAGTGTAAGTCACTATGGGTCAAGTACCCATTGGTCGAAGGGGGCACCACCTCCCCATGCAGCAGCCAGGTCACCTCATCTCTTTTCTGCTGCCCCCTCCCTGTGCGGAGGAACTACTGTTTGCCAGGGCCCGGGGAAAGGGCTCCAAAAAACCTCAGACTACACAATGACACAAAGCCACTCTGGGTTTTCATCATAAGTAGAGGTGAAGGCTCAAGGACACATGACTAGCCAGCCGAGGAAAGCCAGTACGCCGCTACAATACTGTCCCTGCCAGGGTCACATCCCACAGGCTCTGAACAGCCACTTTACTCACACTGCCCTGTGCTGTCACCACGGTAGCACCATCTCCTGGTGTTTACGTGTGTGGGAATCTGATCTCGTGGCCGAGCTCTATAGAGTCTCAACAGATACCTCCCTACCTTGCCTTACCTCCAGCCTCGTCCGGTCCACATCTTTGGGCAGTTTCACCCGGATTCGGTTGGTTACGATGAGGGAGTCATATGGGTATATCTGCCAGGAAGACACCACAGGGTTATCTCAGAGGCAAGAACCCCTGGGCTGGCCAAAAGGCAAACTAGGATACATACGTGTGTGGGTTGTGGACATACACATCTCATAGAGAAAATGCAACAAAAAGGAACTTTTAACCTGGGCAGGAACAGCGCGGTGGGTGAGGTCAGTAGTGCAGGAGGCCCCTTACCTTGTACTCTGTAAGAAAAGAGCAGAGACCACAGGACTGGTTTAGGAACAAAACATCCATGCCCGGGATGGGAGCAATCTTCTTCCTGGGCAGCCCCCACCCCCAGTTAGCTGGCCTATGCTTGGTCTTTGGTCTCCTGAACAGACTTCATGGGTCTTTCTCTGTTCTTGGACTTCAAGTTAGGGGCCAAAGGTCTCCCACAGAATACTGAGAGCAGGAGGCATGGCCAGGAGGCTGGAGGCCATACTGGAAGCTGGGTAGTGGCACTGTGCTCCTAGGCTGGGAGGTGTCTTTCCTAGTGTTCTGGGTTACTCTGAGAAAGACACCTATCTCAGTTTACCCAGCCGTGCAGTGGGTTCTCGAGGGAAAACTTTCTGAGGGGTGTTGTGGAGTCTGACATCTTAACCAATATGCATCCCATCACCCCAGTCCCTCCCCCCATTTTTTTAACGAGGTCTCACTGAATCTAGGCTAGCTTTGAACTTACTATATAACTAAGGGTGACCTTGAACTCCCGATTCCCCTGACTTCCTATCCCAAGTGCTGGGATTACAGTATGCACCATCCCGTGTGGTTTATGTGGGGCTGGGGAGAAAATCCAGAGTTGTACGTGTGTGAGGCAAGCACTCTACCACCCCAGCCACACCCTAGTCCCTCTTCATCATACTTTGTTTATTATTATAAACCGCCAGCATTCTACACTCCCTCTGATAACATTTTTCTTTAGACTTAAGGTATCATCTTATAGAAGTTAAAGTGGAGCAAGCAGATGGCAGGAGCTCCATAGACACAGGAAGGGCCTCGAGAATCTTGGCTTCAAACCACTCTGAAAGGAAGATGCCTGTATGAGGCAGGCCCTTGGTCCTCCCACTTGGAACTCTGAAGTCCCGGATCTGAGGCTGGGGACTGGGACAAGCACTTTAAGGGCAAGCTGTGATGCCCTGGCGCTGCCATCTGTATATGAACTGGTATTCAAGAGCAGGGTTCTGCCAGCATTCCAGAAGGTAACAAGGAGGTGAGCATGGCCAGGTGCATGGCCCTGCTCAGAGTTGGGAGAGGAGCCATTACTGGCTGCCACATGACCTGGACCACTTGCACACATACCAGCAGACTCAGTGGACAAAGATCAGAAAAGGGGTTTGACCTACACTGTTCAGCTCAGACCCTGGAAGCTGCTTGCTTGGGACTCTGGGCCCTACTCCAAGAGATTCATAGAACCTAAAGAGCCATGACAGACCCCTGCAGCACAGGATAAGAGAGCTGAAGGATCAACAGGGATCCCCAGGGGATCCTTCTTCCATGGTGCAGAGCCTTCTGCCAGCAGGTCCCGGAGGGATAGTCTCGGAATGAGACTGGTAGACATGTGCTAGTGATTCTGGCCTAGACAGAGACCCACAGGGGTCCCCACTGTGTGTACCTCGCGTGCCCCAGCTGGCATCCGGGTCTGCTCCACAAGGGGCCAGGTTGGCATTCTGGAAGAGAGAAAGAGAGAGAGAGGCCGGCAAGAGGCAGGTTGCAGGGGGCAGGCAGCAGGGGGCTCAGAGACATCCCCAGTGCTTCCAGGGTCCTCACACTGCTGGAGGAGAAGGGTGTTTGGCAGGTTAGGTGACAGACAGATGGTAAAGGTGAGCTTTGGAAGGAGAGTACCCATGCTCTAGGGAGACCCAAGAGTCATCACAATCCCACTGTGCCTACAAGATAGCAAAGGGGCACTTGCTGGCCACTTCTTCCTGGGGGCTATGCATCATCCATACTCTTTTCCCAGAGTCCCCAGTGCCATGCCTAGCTACACAGCCCAGACTGCCAATGTCCATGCCCCTCAAAGCTCCAAGACAAGAGGGACCTCTGCCTCTCTGCAGAAACCATAGGCATTCCCACAACTCTGGGATCATCAAGGATTCTGGTGTCCAGAAGTCCCTGGTACCCTGGACAAAGTGGCCTTGTTCTGACATTAATACCCAAGAAGTGACATTCTTGGGGGTAGGGGCTGTTACCTGCTGTCATTAATAAACTGTCATGTAAGCAGCATTGTGGTCGTTGAAGCTCTTTCTTTCTCTTCCGTCCACTTGGAAAATGCATCTGTACACGCTACCTCTGTCTATAGAGGTCCGCCACTGTAGAGTGCACCACCTGCAGCACCGCAGCACTGCAGCACCTATGTCTTGACTGACTCCTGCCCCTACCATACCTGCCGTCTGTACCAAAACTGCGGGCTGAGCTGAGCTCCCTGAAGAATGCCTGACATTACCCCAGGCCCCAGCTCAGTCCAGGGGTTGAAACAGGGTCAGGGCTGCTGGGCAGAGTTTTTGAAACCAGGCTCAGGGATTGCATTTCAGCAGAACACTGCAGGTAGAGGCACCGTGTGCTCCACCTACAGATACAGTTACAAGAGAAGCTGCTTCTGATGGCCCTTACGGCAGACGACAAGCTGGGGGGCAAGCTGGGAGCGGGCTACACATCCCAGAGGATGTGGAAGTAGAGGGACCCTGCACGCTAAAATCCTTCATCTGAAACAGAGAAACAGAGGCCCAGAGATATGACATTACCTTCTTCCTGCCTCAGAGCTGGATCCAGCAGGCTATAACTGGTGAGAGGGTGAGTTTGGGTAACAGAGGGTTGGAGCAGGCCTTTATTTAAAATCTTGATATGTGGTTTATCATGGACTTTTGGACATGGATTTGGATATTCTCTCTCTCTCTCTCTCTCTCTTTCTCTCTCTCTCTCGTTCTGTTTGTTGAGATGTCTTGGCTGGTCTGGAACTCTCTATGTACACCAGGCTGGTCTCAAACTCATAGAGCCCTCCCTATCTCTGCCTCCCCAGTGCTGAGATTAAAGGTGTGCCTTTAATCCCTACCAAGTCCAGTGGATTTGGGTCTAACACCACTGTAGTAACATGTGATGTACTTCAATGATTCCATCCTTGGGTTCAACTGTAATTTGCCTCTCTGGGTTTTAAGCCCTGCCTCCTTAGCCAGGGGTCTTTGCATGAGTCGATAACTCTCCATGACCTCTCACCATTTACCCTTAGAAGTTTTTAAAAACAGCTCTTGGGAACATTGTCTCGGCCTCAGACTAGCACCTTAGGCACACCTGTCCATCAGAGAGCCTCTTGGCAAGTGAGGCCAGTCTGCCTGGTCCCAACCTTTGCAGCCACAGATTGACTGACACTGAGGATGAATGCTGCCACCTGGTGTTTGGAATCTTGTATCACAAGCAGTTGACCACCCAGGCCAATACCTCCAAGTTAGAACAAACAAGCTTCCTCAAGCCTTCTAGGTCTGAGGAAAGAGAGGAAAGATAGGAAGTGGGTCATCCTGCAAACTGAGGAACAGGAATCTTGGTCTAGAGCATAAAGAATGGAATCTATGCCCCGTGTGGCTCTACAGAGCACTCAGCGCAAGCAAGTCTTGGGCTAACCTGTATGTGTGGACCAGCAACAGAGAAACGCCCAAGACTGTACTGCCTGGTCCCACCCTGGTTAACTGTTCTGTGTTCTCAATGAGATACCTGGACTTTTAAAGGTGACGTGCTATTTGTCTTCCCCAACGGGGCACTTACCAGCTCAACTGACACATTCTCCTATCTTGCTGTACCCCACAAAGTGGGGAAACACCCTCAGGCTTCCCAGACAAGGCTCAGAGAGGTCAAGCAACCTTGCTGAATTCACACAGAAAATGCACAGGACTGTAGGGGGATGAGTCCATGTGTTTTGCTTTCCTGAGACTACACTATAACCGCTAGTAGGAATGAGATCATAGCCGCCCACACTGGCGGCTGTGATTTTCCTGCTAAAGCCACGTAGGAATGAACTGTCTGACTCAGCAGATGCTGGTGCAGAAGAGGGCACGAGGGTTTGCTTTGAAGTCCTGACTCATGTGGAAACCATGCTACAGAGCTCGGGAAAAGATCTGACAGCTGGATCTGTTCTCATAATCACTCAGATATAAGAACCACCCCCTCCACCCTGGTGAGTTCTAGGAAATAAAAGCTCTGAAAGTTACATAACTTGCCTCAAGACGGCTGGGAGTTCGGGGCTGTCTAATTCAAACACACATGCTCTTTCCAAGACCACAGCTGAAGATCTATAGTCACATAACAGCCCAGCCCCCACCATGCCTCTCTCAGAGACAGGTCTTACAGAGCCCAGGTTAGCTTTGAACTCACTAACTATAGAGCTGAAGATGGCTTTAAATTCTGGTCCTCTTGTCTCTACCTCCTGACAGATACTTTAAAAATATAAAGTTAAATAGTTTGAGACAGAGTCTCACCATGTAGCCTTGAATATCCTGGAATTTTCTATACAGACCAGGCTGGCCTCTCACCCACTGCCTCTGACTCCCAAGTGCTGGGATTAAAGGTGTGTTTGGGAGACTCTCGTTTACTAGACCTATGTTTTATTTTAAGAACATGCAAAGCGCCTGTTGGCCTTGCCTGTGATTGCTGTGCTGTTTGGTACATTTACGTTTCTGAGATCTGCCATGGTTCAGTAAGCCCGGGAGGCTGGCACTCTCCGCATCTCTGCTCCCTCTTCATGTATCGTTTGTTTGAAGCTTAACTTCAGTTTGCCGTAGCATCTCTACTCCTGCCTCCCATCTGTGATTTTAGCATCTCTTTCTTCTCATTTCTAACGAAAAACACATTTTCAGTGTGTATCTTATAATGGCATGCTATAATACTATTTTTCTAACCAATCTGACAGCCTGGGTTTTTGGTTTGTTTGTTTTTTGTTTTTGTTTTATGCTGTAATCTAATGTCTTCACAGGTAACACCAGCATTTCTCCAAGTGGGGTTTCTTCCAGGGATCAGCCACAAGGACCTTCAGGTGCTCAGTCACCGTTATCTTACTGATGAGCCAGGTGGCACATGTCAATCATTTCTGCATCATTCACAGGAGAACCTGCAGCAGGCAGCTGCTAGCCTGCTGGACTATGAGCATCGTCTCCTGCGGCAGGTTTGGGCATCAGGACATTCTCATGACTCTCGCCATGTACAATGCTAGGGGTCACTAGGTCTGTGACAAACTCCTCTCAGATCAAGACTCAGGAGGACTTCTGCCCCTTCAGATGAGGGAAACTATAAAAGTCATGATCACAGCTACCCAGCCCTCACTACCGGGACACATGGGTGATGCTTTGGCAGCTTTTCTCAGATACTGTCATTTGTTTTCGATAGAATGTTCTCTGGGGGCCTCCATCTCTTGAATTTTGGTCTCACTGAATCTGTGCGTTGACTTAGACTGCTTCCCCCCCCCCCCACACACACACACAAATCCTTTCTGATAGCAAAGCACCCAGTGCATGATTCTGGGGCACTGCGGGTCACCGGCAAATGTCATTGGGCAAGCACTGCAGGAACTCCAGAGAGAGGGTCCAGACTTGAACTGCCGGGCATGGCTATAAAAGGCTGCTCAGGTGAGTGAACAGCCAGACTTCTGCTGAAGAGACGGGGGAGCACACACGAGTATTAGAAGGAGTGAGAATGAGCAGGAGCAGGAGCAGGGGACAAAGGATCCCAGGGCCAAGTGGAAAGTCTTGTGAGGATGGACTCCACCTTTGAGGCTCTCAGCATTAAAGCCCAGGGCGCTCAGATCTGCCCACTCTCTATCCTATGTTCACATAAGGCCTGCCTCATGGTACTGCAGAGAGTTAAGATGATGTTCACAGTAGTTCCGGAAAGAAGATGGATCCACAAGGATCCAGACCACCTATTTACAAGTGGAGTAGGAGGAGCCAGTAGAGAACATGACCTCTGCAGACAAAGTTCATCGTTGCCACAGGCAGGCTGAGACTCTCCCAGGGGGTCGTCTTTTATGTGTTCTCACAGAGGGTTGACTTGAGACAGGCTGGGCATGCAGACAGTCTAGTGTCCTTCCTTCCCTCTGTTCACCAAGCAAACCCCAGAACTTTGCTTGAGCAGAGGGACATATTAGCTAGATCAAGCCAGGTCACTGGCACCTGAGGGCCCCTTGCTTAGAGAGCAACTGTTCCAGATAAAAAGAGAACATTCTAGAAAGACAGACAGGGCTCCCACGGCCCCTAGAGACCTGACTCTGAGTGGAAGGTTTGACATCTGGTGTCAGAGGAGTCCTGTGTGGTTTCTAGCCCTCTGCTGTCCCTGTGGAAAATAAATTCCATTGGAGAGAACTCAATGAAGCAGGCAACATGCAAGGTCCATTCCAGAACAGGAAGAGAGGTTAATGGGAGGAGAAGCCATGATCCTTTAGATTCCATCCATGCAGAGGCATCTGTATGGGGGACACCCTGAGGCTGGGTCTTGGACAGAAACACAGTAAATCAGAGCCTGATAAGATGGAGGAAAACAACAGCTAGTACCAAAGGATGCCTGCAGCCTCTGGAGATGCCTCCCTGGTCTTGGGAGTGTCCCATAGCCTTAGAGAGAAGCATATTTCAGACAGCTGGCCCTGAGTTTACATTTTGATAAGACCACGCCAGCACCACACACACACACCTATTTGATTCTCTTGATAAGTGAATTGTCTTAATTTATATACAAACTTCCTGACACTAGGCAAAGCTCCCTGGGTGATGGAGGTTCTCCTGGAGCTGTATGCCTATGTGAGGCCTGGGGGTTCTGGATCATTAGGACACCCCAGCTCTTCTCAGAGATCTTCTTTGAGAGCCAACATGGTTATAGGCGTCTCATGAAGGGCACCGGACCAGGGCACATGCCAGGCTCTCTTTGGGGTGGCAGGCTGAAGGTCTCCCGCACTTGCATTCATGGGTCTTGAAATTAGAAAGGCAATAAAGGACATGTTCCTAGTGACCACACGTTAGTGACATGGGATGGTTATGGCGCCATGGGCACAGAAACACTCTAACATTCCAGATTTGACTGGATTCAGCCACTAGAGAAGGTGAGGCTGAAGAGCATCTCAAAGCAGTCCTAGTCACTCTGGGTGACCTATATCTCCCCCTGGCTTCCGGGGCACAGCAGAGGGAAGCCAGAGTATGGCCAGGTGCATCTTGTCACTCTTGATGAGGAAAAGGCTCCGGTGGCAGCACCTGGGGCAGAGCGTCAGGCAAAGGCAGATGGGCAAGCAGGATTCCTGTCTTTTCTGGCTGTCACAAAGCCATGGGGACAAGTGCAGGTAGGCAGCAAGTGATGGTTAGTGCCCCACAGGTGGGGAGGGTCCAAGTACCTACCCGGAGGTCCAGGCCATCCTTCCTGGGTCCTGGGAGAGTGTCGGGTTTGGAATAAGGGAAGCCTGTAACAGACACAGCACAGCCTTGTCACGCACTCAGCCCAGCCAGGCAAGGGCAGGACCCATGACTCTTCCAATAGAGATAGGACTAGGCGGCTGAGAATAAGCAGAGGCCCCTAAAGATAATCTGCCTGCCTTATTTGTGACCTTCTAGCCCCAAAACACGGGGGGGGGGGCATCTGAACCAATTATTAACACCAGAAACATTATTGAAATGGGGCCCAGCCCAGCTGGTACCCAACTTCAGGAAAAACCTCAGTATCACACCACCCAGGCCTAGCTCTTTACCCAGATTCAGACATCCTATGCTAGGTATGACTGTGGCCACCCTGCACTTTGACGGCCACCACAGGCCACCACTAGTCAAATGGGGCTGGGGATCTTTGAGGTTGGTGAATCTCAAATCCAAATAGTGATTCCTAGATTCTCTTTAAATGAAATGAGCCAGGCAGAGACACAGGGGCCCTTGATCCTCGCTAGCATGAAGCCAAATGTCATGGGAGCTCCCAGGAAGCCAGGGAAGGGGCAGGGGGGCTATGGGCCACACCCCCACAACATTCACACTGAAGTGTCCACTGAGGACTGACGTCAGCACCAAGGACAAAACTGCCACCTGTCCTGTCTGCCCTGCTGCTGAGCATGCCAGGTTAGGCATTACCTCGAGGTGTCCTGTGGGCTCAGAGACCCTCCTCCCAAGGGACCCACTGAGGAAAGTCAGGAGCCTATGACAGCTGAAGGGGCTAGATGTCGCTCTCCTCCAAGAGGAGGGTAGCAGCAATGAAGAACTTGTCTGTTGTGTGGATTCTCGCACAGATTCAGATCTGCTCAGACCCTACTGTATCAGAAGCCTATGATTCTGCAAGCCCCCCAGGCCCTTTGGATGAACAATAACAACAAATGTCTCAACTGTGTTTCTGGCCCTCTAGTCAGGCACTGCACATGGCCTTCCCATGGCTCAATATTCAACCTCTCCCATGCAGTGGCAACCTTCTTTCCATAGGCCACATGTGTCTCCCACCTCCCTAACAACTGCCTTAGACAGGGCTGAGCAATTTTTAAAAATCATTTCAGTTTTAATTATGTGTATGTGGGTGGGAGGGGGGAAAGGGTATGAGCATGTTCAGTGCTGGTACCCATGGGTCAGAAGAGGAGGTCAGAGGCCCTGGAGATGGAGTTATGGGTATTTGTGGGTTGCTCAGTGTGGGTCCTGGCACCTGAGCTCTGCCCCCTGCAAGAGAGCAACGCTCTTACTGAGCATCTCTCCAGCCCTGGTCATACTTTTCCCATTAAGTTGGAAAGATGGGGGTGAAGAGATGGTGCAGGGTTTGATTCCCAGCACCCCATGGTGGCTCCCAACCCTTTTCTGGCCTTTGTGGGCACTGTGTGCACATTAGTGCACAGACGTACATACAGGGAAAACATCCATACACATAAAGCAATTTTTTTAAAGAAAGAAACTTGAGAAGGGGATTGGTGGCCGTGCCACCCCACCCTCTATGCCTAGACTTTTTCTCTTTCTGAGCTTTTGAGCCCGTGCATCTGTCATCTTCTTTCTGGAGAAGGCCCCTTAGTCTCTCTTTAAGGTAACAACTTCTCTCAGCTTTCCCCCACCTGAGAAGGTCCCTGTGCCTTCCATCCCGAAGTACATTCCCACTGAATGTAGAACTCACAGGCCTCCCGTTGGCACAGGAAGACACGCCACTCACTTCAGGTCCCCGTTGTTTCCACATGGAGTCAGCTGCCACCAACTAAAGCTTCCTGTAGATGACATCGCTCTCCTCGCTGTGGACTTTCAAGATTTTTTTTTCTAAACCTTAGTGTTCAGAAGTTTAGAAGAACGTCTTGGTATGGACTTTTCTGATTGATCTTCTCTGGGGTTCACTTGGTCACATGACCTTGCCAGTCACATGACTTCTGCCAAGTCTGCCATGTTTTCAGCCATTGTCGCTTTTAATGTTTCTAACACATTCTTTTTTTTTGTTTGTTTGTTTGTTTTTGTTTTTGTTTTTCGAGATAGGGTTTCTCTGTAGCTTTGGTGCCTGTCCCGGAACTAGCTCTTGTAGACCAGGCTGGCCTAGAACTCCCAGAGATCTGCCTGCCTCTGCCTCCTGAGTGCTGGGATTAAAGGCATGCGCCACCACCGCCCGGCTTCTAACCCATTCTTTCTCCCCTTCAGGGAATTCACAGACACGAGCACTATTTCCAAGATCCCTGGTGCTTGCTTTCCTTCTCTCCGTTGTCCATACCAGAACGAAGATCCTGATGCCCACTGTGGGAATCAGTTATTCTGTCCCTGTACCCACACAACAGGTTTTTCATTATTTTACTTTTCAGTTCAATGCCAATTCCCAGTTGAATCCTTTTTGAAGTAATTTGTGTTTCTTCCATGAGATCTTTTCTCTATTCCAATTTTGACACAGCTGCTGACTGGAGCATCTCTATGACTGATGTCGTAGAATCCCTGTCAGATGATGTCAACACCAGTTCTCACCAGTGTTCTGGTCTGGGGACTCTTTCTCATTCCAATACTAACGCCACGGTTCTGGGTGCTGCAAATCATCTTTTGATTGAATCCTGGATATTCAGTTGCTGTGACAGGAGGTGGGATCTTGGGTAGTCTTACATTTTGGCACACCATGGTTCTGTTGGGTCCAGTGCGCGGGGACAGGCACTCAGACTGATTCCCATGATCATTGTTTTTCAGAGTGATTCATACACTACTCCATTCTTCTCGACTTGCCTGGGCTTGCTGGTGCCCACCACGATCACTGATAGAGCTCCCTGTCTGTTTGCCCCACCAGCTGGGAGGCAGAAGATGCTAGTGATAAACTCTGGACCTCCTCCCTGCAGGCTCCATCCCCATCCCATGACACTGCAGGGGTTGCCAGCCTCCTCCTCCTTCCCATCCTGTGGCTGCTTGCTCTGCTATAGTCCCCTTCTTTCAGGTATACTTAGCAGCGAAAGCTAGACAGGTGTGTCTACCACAGGTGTTCCTGTCGTCTGAGTTGCTATCTAGGTCTTGTCACATTCAATCTCTCTGAGGGAGGGATTGGCTAGTGTGTGATTTTTAAAGGTCCCAGAGTCCCATGTACAACAGATGTATTTAAAATCCCTTCACACATTCAGAGTGCCATCTCCATGCTCAAGGGCCTCTATGCCTTGGACACAAGGGAACTGAGGCCTAGGCAGATCAAATGACCTGTATAAAGATCAAATGACCCTTGTAGACCTTCTAGAGACCTGCATATCTGATATGGTCAGAAGCCTTCAAGAGTGTGTAACCAAATGTGGATATGACTGAGAAGTGGCTGTGCACAAGAAGGGACAGTTACAGAGGACAGAGGACCCCCAATGAATTCCCGCGGTGTGCTCGTGATCCTAGGTTATATCAGGCCCTTTAGGCACTGGACACCCTGCTAACTCCTGGGCTAGGCCCAGGCTTAGCCTAACCACGTACTCCTACACCAGCTCTCAGGCCCCCCACAGCCACTCTAAAGCATGCCGCTGACTGTTCTTGAAGCTGGCTCTGTTCCTGGCTCTGTCCTCCTCCAGAGTGGCTCACAAGAGGTCAGGAAACCACTGAAGACTCAAGACATAACTGAGAACACACACCGGGTGTGTTCCCGGTGCAGTGGGAACTCACAACACCGGAGAACATTCTTCTGACAACTGACCAGCAAGCCACAGCAGGCCACCATGCCTTTGTTGGGGTTCAGTACATGACTGCCATTGCCTGCTCTGTGCAGGGTAGCTCCTCTCAGCTCTGGACAGCAGCACTCAATGGCCCTGAGCACGTGCAATTTAGGCTGTAGAAGCAGACGCTGGTGGAAAAGGCTTGAGCTGGCAGCTGCAGGCTCGCTGCAGCCTGGCATGTGAGTCTGAGTGTTCCACCTGGACGTCCTCATAGGACTGCATGCCCAGGTGCCAGCCCCTCATCCTGCAGGTCTCCAGATCATTCTTGTTGTTACATATAAGGAAATTTCATACCATGGAGGCTTGCCAGGGACCCAAGGTCACTCAAGTGTGCCTTGCTAGGGCTCTACCTGCTGGGCCCAGATACAGGTTCAGGGTTCTGTGTCCATTCCTCTTGGGGTTTCCTGGACGTATTAGTTGCCTTCAGTTCTTTCCTGAAAGCCATGCCTGCTCCCATCTTGTGTCTGGCTAGTCCCTCTCACACTATACCATTGTGTCTGTCTTCCTAGAGCTCTGCAGAAGTCAATCTCCAAACCTTCACATATTCTATGCATTGCCCAGATACCTCGCTAATGCAGATGCTGGCAGCCATCACCTTCCATCCATCTAGGTCCTAGCTCAAGGGAGAAAGCTAAAGTCCTCTGGGGCTGTCATTGCACAGAGTGGGGTGGGGGCTGGTAGCAATGACATGGTCATATGGCCCACAGGACAGGAGGCCTTTTCTGTTTCAGGCCCTGCTCTGGTTCCGCACCTAGAACAGGGCTGGGACATAGAAAGTATTCAAGGTCTGTGTGCTCCGTGCCTGGACTATTCCTGCCCATCTGGACCCTGATTTGGCACTGGAAATGCCAAAGATCTTCCAGTTTTGATATCTGTGGACTCTGCCACCTAGGGGTGTCAGCCACAGCTCTACCACCAGGCGCTTGGCCTTCCCCCTCAGTACTCCAAAGAGACTGACAGGTCATAAGGAGCCTGCTCTGCATATCACAGGCAAGGGAATTCGGGGGCAGCTCTGCGGGGGGGTCAAAGGGACAGAGAAAGTCTGGCCCACCCTCCCTTCCTCCCTCCCTCCTTCCCTTCCTTCCTTCCTTCTGAGAAGAAGAGAGTCACAGAAACCTGTCCTGTAGCTGGCTGCTGCTGACTGGTTGAGAGGGAGAACAGTGAGCTAAGAAGCAGAGACTGGAACATTTCATCATTCCACGCTCTACAGGGGCCTCATGTTGGAGGGCACAGAGGTGACGGTAACGGTGAAGGCACAGGCCAGTCTGGGGTGAAGTGGCCTCTGCTGAGGTCTTCCCTGTACTTCCTGGATGCTAAGTCAAAGAGACTCATTTGTCTCCAAGCCCCAAGGCCACCCCGAACCCACTCCTCCTACCTTCCTCTCAACTTGGTGATGTAAAAGAAGGGTTTACTCTCTGGAAACTTTGGGGCCTTGCTAGGGACCACAGAAACCCTCTGGCAGTGTCTTCTACAGCCCAGGTACTTGAATTAAACCACTATCATGCCTGTGTCTGTGTGTGCACATTTGTATTCACATCTGTGTGTAAGAGACCACAAAAGAGAGGATAGGACAAGAAAGGTCATGAATGTGGGACCCAGAGGACATGTGTCCACAGGGTACAAGCTATGGAGGAGACTGGGGGCTTAGAGTCTCTCTGTAAGGCCTTCAATCCCTCTTCTTATGAGAAAAGCCAACCTTGTCCCCCTTTGTGCAGACACATGACATTAATGAGCACTTGCAGAGAGCCAGGAAGTTCCCGCATAGGATACAGAAGGAATGCAAGCACATCTCTAATAAAACACATGCCCGTTGATAGGGCAGTAGAGCCTGGCAGAGAACTGCTGCCCTGTGGGACTGTACAGCACCGCTGGGATGGAGATAAAGGCACAGGTGCAATGCTGGACCCTGTGGGCTTCCTGCTCAAGAAATCTGAAGTCAGGACATCAGGGGGACGCAGAGGCAGGAGGATATAGCCATGGCTGTTGGCACATAACAGGTGGCATGGGACCAAGCACAGGTGGCTAGGTTCCCACAGGCCAGGTGTCCACATAACACCTACTTCCTGTCCACACCATTCGTGTTGGCTTGCTGCAGGGATTCAGCAGAGGAATGGGATGGCAGGCAAGTCCTTGTCACTGTGGGAGTGACCAGTGAAGACACCTGGAACAGCTTGCCTCACAGAGACAACCCCACTCAAAAGTGCCCGGGATGAACACTCTCATTCTGGCATCTGCAGATGAGAAAGTACTACATGGGGTGGAGGGCACATGCACAGGCCGCACAGCATAGTGAGAGCAGAAGCAGGATCCTGAGAGGATCTGTAGCTGGGCTTCTTCCCACATTGCATCCCTGCTCCCTCAGTCTGAGTCACAGGCAGTCCATACATTCCAGTGGGAACTGCTGAGGGCACAGGCTGGCCAACACGGGGAGAGTCTGGGCGAGGTCATGGGAATAGAACAGGGCACTTCCCTAACAGAGCAAAGACCAGAAACTGAAAAGCACCATCCTGAAATACCAACATAAATTTTTGGCCCCCAGCTAATGTCTAAATGCCAAGACACCACATGGGGCAGTGAGAGCTAAGGGCAGCCCTATGCCCTGCTCTGTGGAGGGGCCTCCACTACTCAAGTACCACAAAGCATTTGTGCGCAGCCACAGGAGGACAGCATCTGGGGCAGGGACTCTTGGGACAGAGGGCTAAGGGAGGGTATGTGGCCACTCCAGTAGGCCCAGGCAGGCACGTGGGATCTCCACCCTCCTCTCATCATGCCTTCAGCTAGCTCTTCCCCTAAAAGAACCTACAGGAGGACCCAGACCTATGGGACCCTCCCATGTTCACATCAGCCTGTGTGAACAGTCTGAGATCCTAAGGGACCTCATCTGCTTACACAGGCCGCACACGGAACAACAGTCCCATTGCCCATTAGTCACAGTGTCTGACTGGCTGCATCTCCACTCCTCTCTCTGCTGCAGGGCACCTCCGGTATGCAGTGGTCAGAGAGTGCCATCCATGGTCAGGAGGGAAGGTGGGTGGGGACAGCCCGATTGTTCACTGATGGCCAGCCAAAGCCCTCTTGCACGCCCAGGGCCTAATGAGTCAGCATCACTGCTCTGGTCTCTCTCACAATCAGTCATCAGAGAGCCCAGATTACACTCAGAGTTGGTGCCACCATGACGCCAGGTGCTTGTTCCGCTTTTTCACACCACGGAGATTCTCATGATCTCCATTTCCAACCCTAGCCACAGAAAACAAGCCACCCCCACCCCTACTCACACCCCCCCCCCCCCCCCCCGCCCAGCGCCCCACTCAGCAGATACCAGAGACTGCTTCTGGGAGAACCTGAGTCTGCCTGCAATCCTGTGCTGGCTCTGTCTGCCTGTGACCTACAGCATCTCCAGTGAACAATGCAATGGGCAATTACTCCATTCTTGAGAATCACCCCCAAGCCAGACTTCACAACACCCCCAAGGCTTGCTGTTGCCTGAGATGTCAGGCCATATCTCCTAGAATCTCCAAGTGCCTTGCTCAGGATGTCATAGGGACCAGGACAGTGCCTTGTACCAGTTCCAGGTCTGAACTCGCCCCCTGACCATGACCACACCAGCCCCCACCCACCCAGGGAAAGAGGCTCTGAGTGCTGTTCTCTTTGCTTTCTTGCCAGCTCGGAGAAAGCCACGAGGGGGCACTGTGAGCACACTAGTTAGCTGCGTCACTGCAGAGGTGGTGGGTGAGGCCAGGGCTCAGATCTTTCTTTAGCTGGTTTGATTCACATTTGATCGCTCTTTGGCTGATTTTGGTTTTAATTTTTATTTTTGAGACAGAGTCCCCCTATGCAACTCAGACCGGTCTCAAACTCACAGAAATCCTTCTGCCCCATTCTAGGATTACGTGCTTTCTCTTGATATTAGTGTTTTCAGGGAGGAAAGCTGATGAGATTTGGGGGCCCACTCAGTAGGGGCCCTTGGCTGGCAGTGTCCAGTGCACATCAGAGGAGCCACTCACGTGAGTAGAGGCTGTCCCCAGGCATCCTCGGCAGAGGCTCCCGCTCAGCCCCGCTGCTGAGGGACAGAGATTGGCTGTCCAGGTCTGGAGAATTTGTTCTGGTGTCTGCATCCCCTTTGAGGAGCAGCCAGGTAGTCTTCTGCAGAGGAACAGAAGGTTATGGGAACACTGAAGTCATCTGCCATGGTGAACATACCTCACCAGAACCTTCTAGTAGCTTCTGTACATCTGCCTCACAAGCTGATCCCCGCTGCTTTTAATAACAGCCTTGCTATTAAGGGTGTCTCGTTCATACACTCTGCAAGTTCGTCAAGCAGCTGGAGAAATGGCCAAATGCTGCCCACAGCCTGCTGCTGTGATGCCCCTGCCCTCACATCCTCTCTAGCCGTTTTCACAGCATGACCACATCAAAGAAGTATATCAGTAAGGTCTCCTACCTTCTACTCTCTGGCCGTTTATAAAAAGCACCCACCAAGCTGTTCTAGAACCTCATGTCAAATACGCCAGAGTGTCCTGGGTTTGTTTCTCCTCAGTCCCACAGCCATGACCTGGCTGCACGGCAGAGCCAGGACACTAGTAGAGAGTGTGCTCATATTGAGTGCAGGAGGAGGCGGGTAGGGGCTCCCACCCTGGGCCTCCCAGGACCCCAGGGGCAGAGGTAGAGGACTGGAGCTCCAGCCAGAGGGGCCGTCCCACCCTGCAGGAGCGTGGCCCACCGCATTACCTTCCTGCTGTCCTGATCAAAAGTGCTGTCCTCCACCTCCAATCGCCTGGTGGCTGGAAGGGAAAAAATCCGTTTGTAAAGGCAGCTCACCATGTTTGTCCTGGGGGCCCTGCTTTACATCATGCTCCAAAGTCAAAGAAAACCAAGGAAAAGGACAACAGAATGAACGCCTTTCTCAGACCAGGATGCACTTGAGCTACCTCCTCAGGGACAGGGCCCAGAAGGTGGGAGTGTCCCGAGCAAAGTGACACCTCTTCGCAGTTCCAGCCACACCTCCAACCAGGAGAAATGGAGTCACATTTTCAGAAGAAGTCACATTTTCACTTGGATTTGATAAGTATACCTTTTGACCTTGTGAGGGAGACCCTGAAGGGACAGAGGTCTCAGTCTCAGAGCCCTTGGCGCCAGCCACAGCTGCGTGCTTCTTGGGTATCACCGCTTCTTTCTCAACATGAACTCTTCAAAACTGGAATTTGGCCCATCTCACAGATGGTGAGACTGAGGTTCAGGGAGGTGACTTGCTCTGAGGTCATGAGCCAGCACAGGTTGAGGGGAGGGGGCTGAGAGTGACATGAACTCAGATAGTCAAAGTCCGAAGTCTCCCCCTGCCTGTTCCACTGAGCTACCTTCTGCCTGCCCAGCCCTGAACTCTGCCACTGGGAGAAGTCCACAAGAAACAGCCAAGAACACCAGTACACCTGGAGATGAGCCCACTTGGAGCAAGAGTTCACACCCTCATGACAGCCAAGAGGTTCTGGGCAGCATTCTGTCATCCCACTGGGCTGACCCTTTCCCAGGAGTAAACAGAGAAACCATGCAAGGCATGCTGGTATGTTCCAGGACCTGCCAAAACCTACCCCAACCCTGTGCACACAGCAGTGGCTGGAAGCCCAGGGGGTCCTCCCCAGCTAGGGCTCAGCTCAGGGAGGAGAGCAGGCGGGCTTCTTACCTGCAGCCTGCGGTGGGCTCAGCCCTGCCCGTCTCTTGGAGCGCCCTGCCTCCTGCACCACCAAGGACAAAACTGACACCAGGTCAGAGAGCTTGGACATTGGGGACTGGGCTACAGGACCTTGACAAGATAGGGCCAAAATTGTAAACTGAGTACTTCCATCCTAGACATCAGGACTCTGTGTCTCCCCGCCCCGCGCTGCCTGTCTCTTCCAGGGAGAGACCTTTTTTGGGGGGTGAAAACAAACCCTCTGCTTTTTCCACATACAGGAGCGAATTAACCACAGACCTGCTGGGGAGGTTACATAGAGGGACGCAGAGGGGTGAGCAGCATGACTCCTGTGACTTGATGGCTGTCACCGATCGTGGCTAACACACCAGCACTGACTCTCAGCAGCTGGCCAAGGGCACAGGGACAAACAAGCTGTGGCCACTCCAAGAACTGATTTTTATGCCCCCACCATCTGTGCCAGAGACTCCAGGCGAGGGGCTCTTCAGGGTGTGAGATCCCACCCCAGTAACCCAGGCCGTGGGCTTTCAAGATTCCATATAGCCACGGGTAACACACTAGCCAACACGCTACAGCGTGGTGCTACGCAGGGCTCCAGAATGCTCCTCCACTTGCTGAGAATGTTGTGTGGAGACTTGACAAGGGTCCTTTGTAAACACCACAAGCTGCGACAGATGTGTAGTGTGTCGGGCCAGAGCCAAATCCACCAAGTATTTTGCACTGTCTGTAGGTTGCTTCTATAACAACTCAGAGCCTCAGTTTCCTGATCTGTAAAATGGGAAAATGCCACTCTACCTTCTCCAATTCACAAGAATCAGGTGAGATGGTGTCTGAGAATACAAAGGCTGGTTTACAGCTTTGCAAGGCTAGGACTAGGCCAGAGGTCAACCCTGAAGGTAATCTGAAGGCAGCTCTTCCCTCCTTCCTCCTCTAATCCAGTTAAATCTGAACACTCTCATGTGATACACATGTGTCCCTCTGGCTGCCCATCTGTTCACTTCTGTCTACTCTCTTATCCTTCCACCCACCTGCTCACCTACCTACCCACCCAGACACTAACCCATGCTTCTGCTCGCGTATCTATACCTATCCACTAAGGCAGCCATCAGTTATCCAATTTATCCATCCATCCATCCATCCATCCATTCATCCATCCATTCATCCATCCTCCACTAAGCTATGTATGTATGTATGTATCTATCTATCTATCATCTATCTATTCATCTATCATCTATCTATCTATCATCTAACTATTCATCTATCATCAATACCCACCAAGCATCCTCCATCCATCCACCATGCACTAATCTACCCACCTATTTATGAATCCATCTCCCACACACCCATCCACTAAGCCATGCACCTACAACTATCTTCTATCCATCATGCATCCACTATCCAGCTCCCCCATCCCTGTATCCACAGCTCTCCAGTTATTCACCCCCACTCACCCATGCATACCCCTCTTTGTCTTCTTCTCCATTTCTTTGTTCACTGATGCATACATTCATCCACGCTGCCCTGACCTTATTATATCGGGCCTCTGTCACCTAGTCCTTCAGCCTCACCCCTGCGCCTGCCCTGTCCTGAGCATGAACACAAAACAGACATGATGTTTTTCAGCTTCAGCTGACTGACTTCATTCTCCCTGCAAGGTGTAGACATTATAGGGACTTGCCTTCGCTCACAGGACCTGCACACAAATCTGCCTCTCCACTGAGCAACCCATAGGAGATGCTCAAGGTCACAGCACATCTGATGTGCCTGGGGCCTCCTGGAGTGTCTTAAACACTGACCTCCAACACAACAGGGGACGCAGAAAGCGGATGGATGCACACAGCCCAGAGCTTCCATGGAAGCCACGCAGCTTGCCTTTGGTGGCACCTACACTTCTATAGCTCTGGCTTCCAGGGGGCCATTGACTGTGCTCAGAGGCAGTCTGTGGCCATCAGACAGTCTCAGCTCTGGTCTCTCCTGAAACTCTGTCTGCCATCAGTACAGAGCCATCCCTCTCAAGCTCAGTGAGTGTCTACACACACGTTGATAGCTGGGCCCTAGTCACACCTGGTTGGTACTATCACTAGTAGGTGGTGTTTCTGTACACATGGGGAGGGGAAGGGAGGGGAGAGGCTCTGGGGCTTGGTGTCTCTCCTCAGGTCTCAGGGTTCCAGAAGGGAGGTCTTGCTTCTCTACTCAGGTCCAGACTGGGTTTCTGAGAACGAGACCCATGAGCAAGACTTCTCTTACCTTGCCCAACACATATCAAGCATCAACCTGTACAGTTTACATTGCTTTGGAATTATATTAGAGAGAATGACCGTGTTCACATGTGTGTGCATGTGTGTGTGTGTGTGTGTGTGTATGCATGCACACACACTGGGAGCAACTCTACAGATTTTCAGCTTCGTAGGGCAAGGATGTACTTGATCATATGATCTCAGGGCAATTTTATGGACTCTGCTTCACAGGGCAGGCTATGTTTCTCCATCCCTATGGTTCCAGCACTGAAGTAGAGCCAGACACATAGTGGATGCTCAAAAACCACGCCTTAGATAAATTAGTGAAAGCTTCTGGCATCCCTAGGCACTGGGCTTCTTTCTATGAAGTTGAGGGAATGGCATCTGTGTGCTGACTGCTACCAGAACTGACAGTAGCATCAGAGGAAGAGCTACAGAGCTGGCAACTCTACCTGCTGGCTTCTCTCTCACCCAGTGTCCCTCTTCCAGAGAAAGAGGCTGATCGTGTCCCCCAGACCACACAGAGGAGCTTCTCTGAGGCCCACAGGCCTGTGTCAAAGTGCTCTCTGGAATGACTGATTTCCTACACTCCTGTCCCATGTCCCTCAAGAACTTCTGCTAGGCATGCCCCACTGGGTACCAGATTTCTAATGCTCTTTATGGGCACAGAGCTACCTGATACCTGGTCTTTCATCATATCTCAGAAGACAACCCCAAACCAATGTGAGACTCAATCTTCCAGGGAAGAAACCCCAGAAAGTCACAGCAAGCCCTTATTCCCATCTTCAACCAGGGACCAAAGAACTGGGAACAGACGGGTACTACTCGGATGGTGACCCTGAGAACATGGGTGGCCAGGTCCCCTCCCCCACTCACTCATGTCTGTCCCAGGCTCATAATTGCTTAGAAATCAAATGTGAACCCGGTGAAATAGCAGTTCCATCCTGGACCTGGACAGCCAAACTGTCTAGGAAGTCTTTGAGGAAGAACCATTTGTCTTAGACAGTCGTAATGGTCACTGTACACTGTCAACCTCTGAGGACCCAGAATCACCTTGGAAGTGAACCTCCAGCCTCATCTACAAGGAATCGCTAGCTTCGGGGTATTCCCTTTGGGGAAGGAAGGGTGGTGTTGATTACGTTAACTGAGCGGGAAGACCCACACTAAACGTGGGTGACCATTCTCTTAGCTGTGTAGGAAAGAGGAGTCTAGCTAACACTGTCCTTCAACACGCTCTGCTTCCTGGTGGTGCCCGTGCTGTGACTAGGTGCTTCCCGCCACTGTGACCTCTCTACTGCGAGGAGTGGCACTCCTGAACCAGGAGCTGGAAAGAACCCCTCTTACTTTCATTGCTTTTGTCAGGCTATCTTATCACAGCAGCAGGAAAACAAACTCAACAGTCTAAAAGCAGATGTCTTCTTTCCTCCGAGAGACCGCCTCTGGAGAGCCCCTTCTGTCAAGCAGCTCTGCCATTTTCAGAAACTGCCTGAAAGCTCTGAGGCACAAGCCTAATTCCATTTCTGAGGAAATGAACCCTGAGGAAAGAAGCATTTCTCTTTGCTAAGTAGCTGGATGTGAACGGCTGTATTTTCACCCATAACTGCCTCCCCAAGGTGACAAGGTTGGATGTTGTACCTGTATGCAGGCATGTGTATATGTATGCAGCTGTGTGAATGCAGGTATATGTGTGCACACAGGTGTGCATGTGTGTGTAGGTGAGTTTTCATGTGAGTGTGTATAAGTGTGTGTGTACAGGCATGTGTGAATACAGGCATATGTGTGCACACAGGTATGTATGTGTGTGCAGGCAAGTGTGCATGCAAGTGTATGTGTGTGCACACACATGTGCAGGTATGTGTGTTTGCAGGCATGAGATTCCACTTTCACATGGCAACACAAGCAGTCCACAGCTTCTCTTGAGCTGCAGACCATCCTGAAGCTTCTGACTCAAGCAGCTGCCAAGACCCTGTGCCTCCTCCTGCCTGACAGGCACTACAAGCTGATCCTTGCGATGCCTGGTGGTATGGGGGGGGGCTCCTTATCTTTTGCCCCTGCTTACTCCATTTTTATCACTTCCTACTTTCTTTCATCTCTTCTCTTCCTTTTTAAAGCCAGTAAACACTAAGCAAGTAAAACTTAACTCTTATAGAAATACAGTCAGTTCCCAAAATGCCAAAAAAAAAAAAAAAAAAAAAAAAGACAACTGCAGCTGATTGGGTCAGAAGTCAGCTGCACAGTCATGAGTGCTTCATGGACTCAAAAGCATCTTGCCTTCCACCCCAAGTGTCACCTCCACCCAGTGGGCACAGAGGCCCAGCTATCCTCATGGCTCTCAGAGCAGGACTGAGACTCTGGCATCAGAGAACACTACTATAACCAGCAGTGACCATGTCCAGTGACTTCAGAGTTGTACACTGTGAGCCAGTGCATCTGGGGGAAAGGCTTGGCTGCTTGCAACATGTTAAATATAGGATCTTAAGCTAATGGAACAGTCTTGTGATTCACTGTCATCTTGCAGGGGGTGTTTCAAGCTGGAGTGAGGATTAAAATACCGCTGCTCATGCCTAGATCAGGCTCCAGAGCTCCTCAGGGAAGGCTTGTGGTCAAGTTGCCTTGATGGAGCAAGCACTTGGAGGGGGTAGAACGGTGAGCAATCATGCTCACGCGCGCACACACACACACGTACACACACACATACACAGGTAGGCATGCACAGGGCATGCATCCAATGTCCTACCTGTAATCAGGGGTGGGGAGGCCTTATGAATACCAATGATCTCAGTGCATGAACTGGAAACCAAAGGCACCCCTGCACATCTGTATTTCCCAGGGGTCTTTAAGGAGCTTCATACTGCTAAAGCTCTCTAGTCACTTGCAGTTTGCACAGCTCACTGCATTCTGCATGAGTTTGCATTGCCGAATGCCTGGCCAAGGTGGTGCATGCCAAGATCTGCTTCTTTACAAAATCAGCGTACAGAATCCTGGACTTGGGTAACTAACTGTGTGGTTCCTTCACCCTGGAGTGGCCTGCAGACAGTGTCTTACGTCTAGACTACAAGGCTGGTGCCTGGGAACTGGGAACCTGATCTCCCCCAGGGGCTCAGGTAAAAGATTTGAACCCTAACACTCTGACTCAGTCTGACCCTATCAGACACAGTTGGTCAATTACGTAAAGTGACTTTCTAAGGCAAGGTGCCAAGGCCAGCTCTGCCTGGACCATGGGTATTAACCACACAGTCTTAGTGCCTAGTGGTGGTGCAGAGGTAGCAATGGTTAATCAAGGCCCATAAACCAATCTTTTTCCCTGGGCTCTGGGTGGTACAGAACCCATGGTCCTCCTCCAAGGCTGTCCAGCATAGTGCTGCAGGGGTCACCTAATGGGTGTTCCTTTCTTTGGTTGGACCTTTTTCCCCGCTTTTAAGACTAGAGTTCTCTTCTTGGTAAACGGTGTCATAGTCTAACTGTCTCCACCCATCTCTTGGGGAGATATGTGCTCTCTGCTCAGATTCTGGAAACCAGGGCTTCAGTTTCCCTCTGTGAGGAGGAAAGACATAGCACAGGGCCTCTCTCCACACTGAGGAATAAAACCCAACACAGTAGGCCTCCAATAAGCTGGCTACCGCTTGTTAGTATGGGAAAGGGGTGCTTTCCTTGGCCATATCTGAAAAAGAACTGTCCATGCGGGAATCTCTCTTCCCTTGCATTTTAGTGATGACATAACAGTCCCCATGCTGTGCGGAGCCCTTTACAGTTTAGAACTGTCTCTACCCTCATGGTTCTGTGAGCAACTCATACCCAACACCATACGGATGAAGGGGCAAAGGGGCAGGAATGGTGGTGAGGAGGTGGAGGACACAGTGGGAAAGGAGTCTAGTTTGCAGATGAGGAAACTGAGGCTCATGGTGTTGAGGTGACCTGCCCCGCTCACCCAGAAATGCCAGTTCTCACTCTTCTAGAGTCCTGCTCCAAGGCCCAAGCAATCTTTTCCTTGCACTTCTGTCCCAGGTATGTTCATGTGGAGAAGATGTGGGGGTCAGAGGGATAGAGACACCCTTGCTACCAACCATCTCTAGCTCCTACACAATGCAAGGAACCCTATCAGCTGAGGGCAAGGCATCCTCTTCTGTCACAGATATTCCCAAAAGATGGGGCCTAAAGCCTCCCTAAATTGCAGCTGGTTCCAAGTCACTATTTTTCAAAGATCAGGCCTGAGTCAGGGCATGGGTGAGAAGCCCCCCAGTTCCTCACCATCTTAACTGGTAGCATCAAAAACACAAAATAAAGGTTCTTAGTTCTAGCAGCTGCACCCCAGCCCCAGGTGCCATGCATTAGCCTCTCCACATGTCTCCTCTTCTGTGAAAAGCGACCTCCCAGGCCCCTACTAGTGAGCGTGCATTTAACGTTCATCCAGCAGGGCCTCCCCAAGCCTCAGATCAGGACACAGCAAAGGGAGCATTCAGAAGCAAGAGGGTGCAACAGGCATGCAGGCAAAGCACGGCAGCAGAGCCCGACAGACCAACCATACCGTGCTGTTTGTAGATAGGGGGTTTCCTATAGATGTTATCTTTTACGCCAGTGTCTGGGAAGAAGAAGGAAAGAGAAGGAAAGAACGTGAGGGGAAGCAGGGAAGCAGCTGCAATGCTCTCCACCCTAGGGCTTCTGTCGGCTCCTGGCTCACCCAGCCTGGAATCACCCGCCAAGTTCACAAACAGAAAGCAGGCTAGGCTGAAGCCCCACACCTCCACCAAGCATCCCCTACTCTAGACACCACTTCATATGGGAAGGGGACAAGGAGAGAGGTGGACAGGGAAGGAGGCAAGCAAGAACCTTGGGGTGCTGGGGGAGCCCCTTTTCTCCACCTCGATCCAGAACAGAAAACGTTTTCTCAATATTTATGAGACTTGGAGAAAACCCAAACATGTCAGTTTGAGGGGACATGCAAACCCATTGCATTAGGGTTTTTTATTGTTTGGGGATAGAACCTTTTTGTTTTGATTATTATTTTTTTATTTTATTGATTTTTATTGATTTCTATATTTTTATCTGCTCCCCTCCCTGCCTCTCCCCTCCCCCTTCAACCCTCCTCCAAGGTTCCCATGATCCCAATTTACTCAGGAGATCTTGTCTTTTTCTACTTCCCATGTAGACTAGATCTATATAAGTCTCTCTTAGTGTCCCCATTGCTGTCTAAGTTCTCTGGGATTGTGGTTTGTAGGCTGGTTTTCTTTGCTTTATGTTTAAAAACCACCTATGAGTTAGTACATGTGATAATTGTCTTTCTGTTTCTGGGTTACCTCATCCAAAATAATGTTTTCTAGTTCCATCCATTTTTCTGCAAAATTCAAGCTGTCATTATTTTCTGTTGTGTAGTACTCCACTGTGTAAATGTAACCACATTTTATTATTTTTTCTAAAGATTTATCTATTATGTATACAGTATTCTGTTTGCATGTCTGCCTGCAGGCCAGAAGAGGGCACCAAATCTCATTACAAATGGTTGTGAGCCACCATGTGGTTGCTGGGAATTGAACTCAGGACCTTTGGAAGAGCAGGCAAAGCTCTTAACCACTGAGCTATTTTTTCAAGACAGGATTTCTCTGTATAACAGCTCTGGCTGTCCTAGAACATGTTTTGTAGACCAGGCTTGCCTAGAACTCAGATTAAAGGTGTGTACCACCACCAGGCAGAATCTTGTTTTCTAGTTCAGGTTGGCCTTGAACTTGTGCTGCTCCTGCCTCTGCCTTCTCAGTGCTGAACAACTGGTATGCACCACTACACCCTACTCCACGGAGTAACTTCTAAGGAAGCTTGGTGTTTGGGGATGCTCTGACAACTTTGGTGTGGCCACAATGGTGCATGAAGAACCAACAAGCACACAGGGACCTACCTGGGATGTGGAAGTGGCGTGGCGCCTGCTGATAGGTAGAGGAAGGAGGCCTGCTGTCGGAGAGCACCGAGAGACTTGGGGTGCTACGGCCACTTTCGCTGCCTCCAGACGGAAGAGCAGAGGCAGCAGGTGAGGGGCAAGAAAGCAAAGCAGACGGTTTCAGGCAAAAAGAGTTGATCTGCAGTGAACCCCCTCTCTCCTGCCTGAAGGAAGCCCACACCAGAGTCTTCCAGCGTGGGCTCTATGACTTCTGTCCCAATCTGCAGTGTACCTGGCCCCAAGAGGTGGAAGGGACAAAGGGGCAGTGATTGAAGGGCCAACCTCGTGTTAGTGTGTGGGTGGTGGGCAGAGCCCAGGATCCTGGGGTGTGAACACACACACACAGGCTCGCAGTTCCTGCCTCCCTGATGTAGCTTAGGCAGGAAGGTCCTGACTGCTTTGAGATCCCATCAATTAACTGTGAGAAGGGGACTAAGGTGTAGAAATGGGTCAAAAAGCATCCCTTACAAACACTTTGCCCATGTAGGAAACTGGGGAGTCAACATCCATCAACTTCCACAGTCCTTGATACAGGCTGTTTCTGACAAGCAAAATGAGCATCAGGCTACTCTGCTGCCTCCAAGTTCTGCCTCAGCAGGAGCTATGTTTTGTGTTTTGTGAAGGAGGCCAGATGATCAAATCACCCATCAGACACCTGAGTGGATGCCCCACCTCCCGCCAATGCAGAATGCGATGGATAGAACACGGTGGCACTGGACACGTGATGAGGAGCATGGCTCACAGCAGGACACCCCACGGCACAAAATGTTCCCTTCCTTTAGACGTGGGAAACTCTGCAGGGCTGTGCCTGATTGCCTGGCTAAGAAAGGGGTCTCTGGATGCAAGAACCATGCCTTTGAATGGCAAGATCAAGCAGCTGGATCCTAACGCCAATGGACAGAAGCCAGGCCTGAGTAGACTGGAGACAACAGGAGCATCACAGACAGGCAGGGAGGGCCTGGCTGCAGGAGGGCCCAGTAAGTGGCCACCAAAGAAGACTAGTGATTCCTACTCTGGGCGTTTTCTCCTACCTGAGCATGGCCACTTAATTCACCTGCAAACACCAATGAGGATTTGGAGAAGTCAAAAGATTTTATTCTAGAACTGTATGGAGCCTTCTGTCTGGCTGCATCCACTGAGCTTCTGTTCTTCCTGGTAATAGCAGGGGTCTCACCCCAGGAAGATTGGAACCACAGTCTCCTATGCATGACACCATGACTCCACATGTCACTTAAGTTATGACAAACACGGCGGCTTTGAAAACACAACTGTAAGCCATCCACCCTGGCTAAAGACTGTCCCTACTGGATGGCATCCCTGGGCTGAGCCTCTGTGGCTTGGCCCTGTTGAGTCTAGAACCTCACATGACCAGGCCTTTCTTTCTTTTATCTAGACTTCATGGTCACTTCTGTTACCCTCGCCCAGCTGACGGAGGATTCTAAAATGTTCCAACATCCCTGCCCACTCCAGAGCTTGACCTTTATATAGTTCAATGTTCCCTGAAATGGTAGCTGAGGTTCATACATGTGGGTGCACTCACTGATGTGGGGGCTACAGTTTCTCAGTTGATCAGAGAGGCCAAGACCAAGGGAGCTGAGGCACAGTGTGGTAGCCCTGATGATCCACAAGGACCCTGTCACATTTACTAAAGTAGCTTTCAATACCAGCCACCTTGGTCTCTGCCTGGGACACTACCACTGAGCCTTCTCTGCCCTTTGTCTGACCTGCAAGGCCCTTCCCAGGCTCCATACTGTCTAGACCTTCCTGGTTCAGACTCAGGATCTGGCTGACAAAACCCTCAGGAGGGCAAGGCCACCACAGGCCTTTCTCTTTTCCGAAAACATGCTCCCTGTCTCATGTAACTGAGAAAACATCCTGCTGACCTCAACCCCATAGACCTGCCTGGAGCTCTGCTGTGGGCTTTCATGGTGTGCCCACACAGTGGGCACCATCTCTGTCACCTCCTGAGAAGGGCAAGGACTATGCTATGTGAGGTGGGCACACTGACTACTGGAAACCAACTTTCCCACTGGATCTCTGTGAGGAGGTCGCCGGGACCCTAATGTCACACAAGGACAGGCATGGAGGTTCCTTTGTCCAGGCTCATGCCTCTTTTTGAAGGTTTCATATCCAGGGTGTTTCTGACACCTCCGGTGGAAGGGGCCTGTACAGGACTGGGAAGCCCAGGTTCTGGTGTGGCCTATGACTTCTTTCAGTTTTAAGTCAATGTTTTACTTTGAAATGGTTTTAGATGGTTCTAGAAGATGCCACCCCTCCAGGACCTGGAACCACTGTGTCCTGTTAACTATACTCTATTTGAGTTTCACCCACTTTCACTTGAGATCTCTCTGTCTCAGCACCCGCCTAGGTCATCACACTATACCCGTGGTCACACTTTGACTTCTCCTAGCTGTGACCAGCATCCCTTGTCACAGATCCTGACTTCCTAGAACACTGGCAGGGGAGGGTGCTACAGAATGTCCCTCACCTGGGACAGAGAAAAAGAGGAGTTATAGATTTAGGGGGAAAGCACAGAGGTAGCATGTCATCCTTGTCACATCTCCCCCAGCGCACAGAACCTGGAGCTGGAGCTAAGGGCCGGGGCCTGGAAGTGATGCAGTTTGAGATCTTAGTCTGCACTCAGCTAAGTGGAGGGGTCCTATCTACCTCCACAGATTCTGTGCAGAACTCGTCCCCCATCTTATTTCAGTATAGATTTGTGGACATTGCATCATCTATGAGTCCAATCACTCATCATCTATTTTCTTGCTCCAACTATGGTTGCTATGGCTGCAGTTGATTCTGGCCTTAAAGATGCTGCAGCTGACTCTAGCCTGGATGCCATTACAGCTGGCTCTGGCCCTGAAGATGTTATAGTTGGCTATGGCCAAGATGCTGCCATTGTCTCTGGTTGAACTTTCCCAAAGTCACATTGGAGCAAGACTAGTTCACAACATGTGCCAGGACCCTTTGACGACCATGGCCAAGGCATGTGCAGTTTCTACTTGGAGTCTCCTTGAGGCATCTACCATACATCCTGAGGTTGAGAGATCAAAGCTTAGAGACCTGTTTTAGAGCTGAAGGAGGGAGCCATTAGCAGAATGAGAAACGCCTCCTGGGCATAGTGAATGCTGGGGTTTGGGCCTGAGGCTCTGCCCCTAAGTTCTTTTGCTTCCCTTCCTTTGCCTGCCACTAGGGCTGTGGAAGTGCTTCCCGTCAGTTCCCAGAAAAGTGCCATCAGCAGCATGTGTCCCCTTGCCAACCTACACCTCCTGTCCTTACAGCCTGTCCCTTATCAAGCAAGAGTCAGGATGAAACCTTATACCACCCCAACCAAGGTCTGAAATTCCCACTAATGCGCTGATAACTTTCACCAGTCCTTCACCCGCTGCAGGTCTGGGGCAGTGAGGCCCTAGGCACTGAGACACAGCAGGAGGGGATGATGTCTGGGTTGAGTGGACGGTGGAAAGAGGGCAGATCAGGAGAGAGCTGGCACAGGAAGGCGTGTCTACCTGGGGCCCTCACCCAGCATCAGACAGTGTGGTGTTTCTACTGTGTCCCAAATACTGCAGAGCACCCATGGGGAAAGGAATTCTCCAGAGCCTGGGCAGATGCCACACCTGTGGCTGTGTCCTGTAGACAGGGATAAGCTGCATGCCCAGAGGCTAGGAACAGGATGTTCCCCCATGAAGATCTCAGGGTCTGTAACTCATTTATCTCCTCAAGGAATGTTCTGGAAAGACACTGGAGAGCCCAAGGTCACAGCCTAACAAGGAAATCAATTTGAGGACAGAGTTGTGGGTTCCTGTTTCACTCCACTAAGAGGAGCAGCAATGACCAATGTCTAGCATGTGCCCTTGTCTTTGGTCACAGTCTGACCAGGAATCCAGATGTATAACAGACCTACCAAAGGCAGGGCCACGCAGATGGGAGGAAAACTGTCCAGCGCCATTGAGCAAAGGGAAAAAAGACACTCCCCAGAGCCGTCAGGCTCCCTCCAGGTCCCGGGAGCACCCCTCACTCTGAGACTCCCACAGACATATGATACGTGTGTATCAAGGCCCCAGAAACCACTCTACTGCTCTAGGGATGTGCCATCTGGGGCTGTACATCTTCACTGGAGACTCAACCCCTGCTAGAGACTGGGATGTGTGGAGAGCCCATGAAGGAGCAAGGAAGACATGATAGTGCCAAGGGCTCTTCTCAGTGGGGCCAGGGGTGAGAATAAAGATGAAGGAGAAGGGGCTGTTTACTGACTGCCAGTGACAGGACTTAGCTGTCAGCTGCTCCTGTGCCCCGTGGAATGGAGCTTTCCATGGGTACCATTTTATGACTGTGAGAGACAGGGAACTTAATATATCGCCCAGGTACTCTTGAGAAAATCATTGCGATGTTTTCTAAGTCCCCAGATGTCATTTGCCAGTGCCTTTATCAGCTGGGCTGTGTAACAAAACTCGCAGTTCAGGGTCTACATCCATTTCAGTCTCTCATTTCTCATGATCAAAGCCCAGGAGTGGGTTTTGGTGTTGTTATTGTTTGTTTTAGTTTGGTGGTATTTCATCCTGGCTTGTTGACCATCTCTCCACTGATGCCCAGGGCCTCCTTCTTACAAGGTCACCAGTCCCAGCAGATGAGATCCCACCTTGAGGCCTCACCCTACCTCTATGCTGCTTTCACTGTGTTTCTTCAAACACTGCTACATGGAGTCTTGGCCATCAATATGTGAACTTGGGGTCTACATAACTCAATTCTTAGAGTGGAGGAAAATACAAGGGTGTCCACTCTCCCCATGGAAGTTACATATATGGATCTACAGAACATGGATCATGGCTGGTTCTGCATTCTGGAAAGAGCCTGGGGTTAGAGTCCCCTGGGTTGAGTCCTGGGACAGCCGCCAGGGGTCTGAGGCTGGGGACATCACCACCTCTCACTTCTCAGCTCCTGCTCCTGAAGGCTGATGCTATCGGATGCACTCCACCACATAGAGTTGATGGGGAAACGTGTATAATGTCTCTAGTGGGGCCCTAAGCGTGCAGCAAGATGTTCATTGACATGCTCTCTCCAGCTTCACTTTCAGTGACAAATCAACCCTGCTCTCCTTCCAGGAACATGGACACACTGACGAAATAGAGCCAGACACACACAACACAGGAAGAACACAGGCATGAGACACAGGGCTCTGGAAGCCATGCGGAGACATGGGACGAGCACCCCCCGCTGTGCACTGCACGCCTTACCTCGGAAGTAGGGGATGTAATGATGTCTGAACACGGATGTAGGGCTTGGGTGTTGGGACAGGGACAGACAGCTACTGGTACCAACACTCACAGTACCAGCTGCGGGCAACAGAGAGCAGTCAGTAACCCTGGGCTCCTCCACCCCAGAGCCACCAACTTGTCCTAGTCCCCACTTGGCCAGGGACATTGTCCCTCTGCTCTCCTGGAGCACCTGAAGAGGGTCACCCAGCAGGCTGTGGGCCATTTTTCTCCAGGTGGGGTCAGGAGATGCTGCCTCTGGGACACAGGGTAGCAGCCAGGGCTTGGGACACAGCCTCTGGTCCTGCCTGTGGCTCACTTTGGGGTGTCCTTGATATCAAGAACAATGGGAGGGCAGCTTCCAAAGGTCAGGGAGTGATCTGTCACCAGCATCCTCATGGCACTTGCCAGCTCAAATAGAAAGCTTGGCCCTGTAGGCTTTACCCCTGACCAAGCACTTAGCAGTTAGGCAGCCCTCTTGGGGATGCGAAGTCAGAGGTCAAGTCACAAGGAGCCTTAGGGGAAGGGCTATCCACACACCTACTATCTGTTCATTTTCTCATTCACTCACATATCTCCATTCATTTACTCAATCATCCACTCATTCATTCATTCACTCACTCAGTCGCTCAATTCTCCCACTTATACATACACTAACCATCATTAACTCACTCATTCACTCACTGACTAACCCGTTAACTCACTCACTCATTCCCTCACTCAGTTGCTCATCCACAACCCACTCATTCATTCATTCACTCACTCATTCATTGACTCATTCTCATTCACACACTTATCCACCAGCCCAGCCACTCAGACACTCACTCACTCACTCTCCCATACACACTCACTCACCCTCACTCCTCACACTTGCTAAGCAGGAAGGACCAGATGTATTGCAAGGAACCGATGACAATGATTGCAAACAATTAAGTTGATTTTTCCACCGAATTTTCAAAACTAGGAGCTATGGCCCATAGGTGTGAAAATGGGTCATGCGCGGCTGGAAAGGGAAGAAGCAGGCTGGAAAAATCCCTCCAAAAGGCATCGCTTTTGTGCATGGCCCCTGTAGCTTCCACATGCCAGCTCAAAGCTGAGGAAGACGATACAAATTGAGGGGTGGGGTGGGTGGGTGGGGATGAGGCAATAGGATCGGAGGCCCTGTGCAGGGCTCTGTCCCAGCTTGGAAGGTCATAGCAGTCTATTGCCAGCCTCTTTATTAGGATGGCTGTCTGCAGGGTTAGTGAGTGATAGGTACAGCATTAGACACCCTGCCTGGCTGGTGGTGTAGCCACTGACTTTGACTCCTCAGATCAAGTCCTTCCAAACTCCTATGGGCTCACAACAGGCTGTGACTCGGTGTCCTGCCTCATGTGCTATTCCACATTCTGACTGTTCTGTTACTACCCCCAGAACAAAACTCTCATTGCTCCGTGTGGGCCCCAGGGCAGGATGTTTCTCAGGATGTGCACTGTGGATTTAGACAGCTTCTCCAGCCCCAGGGTGACCAGCTGCCTCATGGCTACCTGCTCCTAGGCATAGGGAAATCCTTTTCCTTATGGCTAAGTGACTCTCTATTAACCACACACTGGCTCCCGCCACCCCCAACTCAGCCACTTTTCTCAGTGAATAAAGCAGCTACTTTCTATCTGCAAACTCATTGAGAAGTACAGCCTCGTCAGGGGTCAAGGGAAGCAGGGTGGGGATAAATACCTGGGCGACTGTAGTGCTGGGGTGACCGTGATGTTGGGGTGTAGTGCCCGAGGCTGACGGAGCCAGCAGAGCTGGGGCTGGAGGTCCGGCACTGCTTGTAGGACCGATCATCCTGATCCCCCTGGGTGGGAAGACAGCGAGGGAGCACCTGGGTCAGAAGCGCTGCTTGCCTTTCATCTGCCCCACCGTATTTGCCCTCTAGATCCCAAGGGCAGAAACAACGCAGCCCGCAAACAGGGGCTCAGAGCACAGACAGAGCACATCCGGGCAGCGAGGTAGGTCTGAGCCCTAACAAGCCCCCTTGGCCTGATCATGGGACCATTAGACATCCACCCTTCTTGTCCATCTGACCCTCTGGAATGGGGTGAAAGGACCCTACCTGCATTCTCCCTGTCCCATTCCCTCCCTCTTAACCATCCCCAGAACTCTGGACTTTTGGAACTGGTTGAGAACACACTGAAATGCTCCCTGTGTGTGAGGGAGGACCTAGATGTTCTGAGGCACCTTCTGAGGTGGGAGGGTACCCTCTGGGGCTCAGAAGCCAGACAACAAGGCCCACAAGCGCTGATGACACAACCCCTATCTCAGCAGGAAGAGGAGCTTCCGAGAGCAGCCAGAGCAGGCGACAGCAGCATGAGATGGCATGGCACCATGGTTCGACGATCAGACTGCCCATCCCTCAGCAATGAAGTCTGGTGGCCTGGGTCATGCCAGCCCTCCTAGCCTCATCTCAACCCCAGATATCCCACAGCACCATGGTCCCCACAATGGCCCAGGTATGGTTTCTAAGAAAACAGGCTGAGGAGGTCATGGAGGGACAGGCAAGGGCTCTTGCCGTAGATCCTGCTTCTAAAGCTACAAGAAGTAAAAAGTATTCCTCAGTCTGAGATGACAAGAAAATCCTCACTCTTGGGATCAGCTCTCTGGGCTGGAATGGGACACTCCCCAAGGATAGGGAAGGTAGGAAAAAATAGCCCAGTTATTTGACATCTAGGCTCCAGTTTCCCCATTGGAAGCTATCTCTGGGAGATGCTCTGGGCTAAAGGAATTAGGTATAAAATGATGGTAGCCGTGTCCAGCACAGAGAGAGGACTCAAAAGTGTGCTGTGCCACTATGCCCTCCCCATGGACTCTGTCACATGGCTGAGGGTCTGAGAGGCCATAATCTGCCCCACTGCTTCCGAGGCAAGAAGAAGCCCTGCAGTGCTATTGAGCCTATATGACAGCACAGCTCTCAGAGAGTGCTCAGCCACAAGGTCCTGGAACTTCCTGTATATCTAGTTGGGGGGGATAGAAGTGGACCTCAGCTCACCCAAGGAAGTCATGACCCAGGCCAGGAGCTGCCAGGCGACACCACATCCCCTGTGTTGGTAAAGACCTGTCTGCACACACAAGGGGGAGCATGCAGATGAGATGCGATTATAAAAACAACCAGCAGGGGGCCCCGGTGAGGCGTGGCTAGGGCCCTGTGGCCCTCAGGGTGCCATGCTGGTCATCTCTATAACCCTGCAGTTGGTAGCACCATGAGCACACGGGACACAGGCATAGGAGGTGGTTACCTCAGTCGGCGTTGGTGAAAGCAACTGAGGCGACTGTGGACACAACAGAGCCGTCTGTTAGTGCGCTGTGCCAGGGGTTGCTTTGGGGGTAAGAGGGCTGTTTGGTAACCACAGGCAACATAGGCACCCACATTCAGTGACCTGAGACTCTAGCTAAGAAAGAGCCCCACCACACGAGATGGCTTGGTGCTGCTTGGCCCAGCGCCTTCCTCTACTCAGCCCACCTGATCCCATTCTTATTCTCCACAGAGACCACGAGTTCAGAAACAAAGCAGTTGGTGATTGAGGGACCACTCTGGTAATACCCACTGGGCTCAACTCTTATTTTCTCTGGAGAGGACAGATGGGTGGGGGACAGCAGAAAGAGGGTGACTAGGGCCATGGGCTGGGAGAGAGCAAGGAGACAGAGGCTCAGAGAGGATGCTCCAGTCCTGATGTTTCTAGTCAATGGCTCCTCTCCGCTAGAAGGATAGTTCTTCCACCTCATTCAGGACACTCGGAGAGCAGGGGCCAGAGCCAGCTTACCTGGGCCCCTATGAGTCCTAGCTGAGCCTCACTTGGTCATGGTTTTCTTAGGTACAATTGGGAAAAATAATTCCCAGGGGCTGGGCAAGATACAGGGACAGAAATGAAAACTCTGCTCTTGAGAAAGGTCCACAGGGATGAGGCAATGAGGCCATAATGAACCACTGGGTATTCTGTATATAATCTACCCTACAAGAGCCTGAGGTTTTCTATGTTATGTTGCCCACCACACACCATCCAGGGCCTTGGGAGGAAGTGGCATTTTAGTGGGAGCACCCCTTCCTTCCCCAGGACAGCCTGGTACCGACATCTGCTAAAGCAGGTCTCACAGGCAGGATAGGCAGAAGGTACGAGCTTGTCGCCAAGCAGATACTGGAGAAGGTAACTCCTGAATCACATAAAGACTCTCCCAGGCTGTCCCACTGCCCTCTGAGGGACAGACCCTTAAGTCAGGACTACCTGTGGGTCACATGGATCTTACTATGTAGTCTCAGATGCTGAAAGAAACCTCAGAGGTCTCCAGACCGTGTCCACAACTCTATACCACACACAAGCGGCAACACTGTGTGACCCAGGGATATAGGACAAGGCTGTCAACAGTCTGTGGTCCTGTATATCACCACTGCCCACTAAATCCCTCCCACCAGGGCTTCCTGAAGCCAGTGCAGGATGCCAATGCTCCACTTAGGGAGAGCCCTGGTGGCATTCTGAAGCTGACCACAGTGGGACTTGAAGCCAGCTCTGAGGCCTGACTTCCATGTCCCTGAGGATCAGCCAAGGAAACAGTCAGTGCATGGTCTGTAGGGGAAAGCTTTGGATCTCATGGTCTGTAGGGGGGAAAGCTTTGGATCTCATGGTCTGTAGGGGGGAAGCTTTGGATCTCATGGTCTGTAGGGGGGAAGCTTTGGATCTCATGGTCTGTAGGGGGGAAGCTTTGGATCTCATGGTCTGTAGGGGGGAAGCTTTGGATCTCATGGTCTGTAGGGGGGAAGCTTTGGATCTCATGGTCTGTAGGGGGGAAGCTTTGGATCTCAGAAGGACGCAGACAAGTTGCTTGGTCTCTGAGCCTCTTCAGTTCCCTGCTGCTCAAAGGCAGGATGTGGGATGTTGACATCCACATCCAGCTCAGGCACACAGTGGGCGGCACAGTAGCCATAGGCCGGTGAACCCCCTCCTCAGACATGCACACCTGGATGGCCACCTGCCAGTCCCTTTGTTCTTCTCCGTCTCTGAGTGGCCCTCAGAGCCTGAAGGCTTGTCTGGAAGCTATGACTTATGCAGGGCCAAGCTGGGCAACTCAACACTATGAGATATGTACAATGCCCCAGGTCTTGGCTTTTACTCCCTGCGAGGCTTTGCTGAAGCCACAGAAAGGAGTCAAAGGAGCACATATTAGGAATAACCATTTTTCTGCCCCAGGTGGGCATCTTTTCTTTCTTTCTTTTTTTTTTTTTTTTTTTTTTTTTTTGGTTTTTCGAGACAGAGTTTCTCTGTGGCTTTGGAGCCTGTCCTGGAACTAGCTCTGTAGACCAGGCTGGTCTCGAACTCACAGAGATCCGCCTGCCTCTGCCTCCCGAGTGGGTGGGCATCTTTTCTGAGCTCCACACACAGCCAAAAACTCTCTAAGACCTCCTGACAGAAAGAAAATGAGACTCAGTAAGAGCTGCAGCACTCAATGGAAACAGGCAGCCTAAATAAGACATCACCAATCGATACTGTCTACTTTCAGACATCAACAATGGATGCTGCCTACTTTCAGGCATCACCAATAGATGCTGCCTACTTTCAGACATCACCAATATATGCTGTCTGCTTTCAGACATTACGACTAGATGCTGCCTACTTTCAGATATCACTAATAGTTGCTGCCTACTTTAAGACATCACCAATAGATGCTGTCTACTTTCACCAATGCCGGGAATCATGACCCATATTGTTCAACCAGCCTAGAGATGAACTCAAGGAGCCCACAGAAGAAGAGCTAGCCTGGGAATGTGGGCTCAAGCCCATATGGTCCAGAGAGGGAAAATGACATAGAGCACGTGTCATGAAAGCAATTAGTAGCCAGGAAAATGCAGACATTTTCAGAGTGTGCTTCCCTTACCCCAACTCTGCTCACCTCCAATCCACTCTCAGCCTCACTTCCCTGAGGGGGGCGTGGTTAGTTAGGAGTGCCTTAAATAAGATGGGCGTGTTATCTGGGGACAAAGAAGCTGAGAGCAGTGGCCATGACTAAACTCTGTCCACAAGAGCCAGCATCGGGGGGAAGCATGCAACACATGGTGATGATCCATACCTCGCCATAGCTCTGCCTGTCCCCAATGGCCGAGTGGCTAATGTAGGGTGAATAGGAGATCATGTCGGGCCGGTCAATGTTATAGATTGCTTTGTTTTTGGGAAGAGCAGCCAAGTCCCTGTAGTCCAGGATCTCATCGCCAAGCTTCGCCTGATGGGAGAGAGAGCAGAGGAGCGGACACTGATGTCACAGGCCAGGACAGAGCGACTTCACAGCCAGCAGTGATGACGGTCCAGCAAGGTCTGAGCATACTCAGCCCCCAGGAAAGGTGGGACAGGGATGCAAGGCCCAGGACCTAATCACAGGAATAGCCTCGGGATCAGACACTGAGGTTGTTCATTATGCCCATAATGTGTTGATGAACCCATAATGTGCCTGACAAGGAGACTCAGGCTATGACCGAAAACCACCCATGGTACAGGTATACAGCACAAACATATCACAGATGTACATGCACACAATCCACAGCTCACATCAATGCACACACAGGTATGCCTGCACACATCAGGACACACAGAGAATGTGCCTCTCCGAGGTGATGAGGGCATGCACAACAACTAAAACTGCACCCACTCCCATGGGATAACACACACCTGCCGGTTCACAACACATCCACATACTGGCATACCTACTTGCATACCAGGACTGACTCCCACAAAGTTTCACATGTGTGTGTGACACATACACGTAGCCACCTCTGCACTCATTCTCATTCTCTCTTCCCTCTTCTTAGCAGTTTTGAGCAGGTACAGAAACGGCAGCAAGATGTCTGCTCAGCATTTGACAGGGTGCTGGGCCACGGCCCACATGTGTTCACTGACTGTGAGATGTTGTGAGCCGCCATGCTGGCTCAGATGAGATTCATGTGGCTGCTGTTGTGCCTGCTTATTCCTCCCTGCCATCTTGGACAGTGAGTGTCCCACTGTGCCCATGCTCTCTGTGTGGTCCCACATTTCTGTTCTGGTCCTAGGAGCACCTCCACTCTCTCCAGTCCCCAGCCTGGCTCTGGGCTGGTCCCTCCTTGCTCAGGTTCCATTTCTGCATCAGTCTTTGCCAGGTCTCCTCTGCTGGGATTCTGAGACAAAGCCTCAACAGCCACAGCGGACACTGAGCTGCATCAGTGACAGAAAGTCACAGCTCCCTGTGGTGGGGACACTCACAGTGCTCCCACTTACAAGAGTCCAACGCTCAGAGAGGCTGGATAATTTTCCCAGAGTCACTCACCTAAGAAGGCATGGCAGCTGAATGATTCTAGAACACTTCCCCCATTGGTACTCTCCGTTGGAACAACTCTCTCAAACCGCAGCTGCATCAAGTGGCTCTCCTGATACCCCCAGGCATCTTCTACCTCAGGCCACCCACATCTTTGTCTTTCCAGAACCTATCAGGCCCTCCAGAGCCCAGCAGCCCTCACCCATCTCTAGGAAGGCTTTCTGACTACTAGACTCACTCCAGGGCTCCCTGGGGACATTTGGCAGAGAGAGTCTTGCACTTAGCCTTGCACTATGACTGAAGGCCTAATGCTTCACATCTCTGACCATTCTTCTGGAGCCCAGGGCAGGTCTCGAAATACCTGAGGTCAAATGTTAAGCCGGGGCTTATGATCACCATGGACCATCCCATTGGGATGTTCTAGCTGTTTGGACGAATGGAGCTCAGGGGATCTTTCCCTGACCATCAGTTGATCTTGGTCTCTTCTGCCCCCATTCTATACATCCTGCCCCTTGGCTCCTGTAGTTTCCATCCGTCATCTGAGAGCTGTGCACATGCTATTCCCACTCATGGAGGTCTCACTTCCATCCAGGTCAGAGGGCTGACCTTCTGTGGACTGCATGTCCTCTCCTACATCCCCAGGTCAGGACTAGAGTTGTCTGGGACTCCACCAGCTTGGTCACATTTTGTCTAAAGCTGAGCAATCAGGCATCTGCACAGACTGGGTGGTGGGGCTGAATTCACCCCAGCTTACAAATGAGCTTTCAGAGGCCCACAGGGGAAACACCTTGCCTCCAATGCACAGCCAGGCACTGGCTGAGACTCAGCACAAGTGTCCTCCCAGGGTTCTAGAACCCTCTCCCTCCACACTGGGGTCACAGTGACCCTGCACGGCATATTTGTCTCCTGCCCATCATGAGGCCTTTGATTCTCACCTGCCACGTGGCCCCTTGGCCCACCAAGGTCTGTCTGGTGCTATTTTACAATACCTTTCTCTTGGGGAGTTGGGCAGGAGCCTTCTGTGCACACGCGTGGACCTGCATAGCAGCTTATAGGCCCACATACCTTTCCTTCACATGGCCTTGGCTGACTACCTAGAGACCAGCCATTGCCCACCTGCAGGATGATGACCACAGCTATGCTCCATGCTTCCCTCTCATCACCAGTCAGTTGAGGACAAATTCCTAGTAGCCTTGCTAGGCCACACAGATGTGTCCAGGCCTCAGGGTTCGAGTCATTCTCCAGCTCTCTACCCATTTTCCCCCAAGGTAGTGTTGGGTGTCCAGCCTCGCCCTTGGAGCCCACAGAGAGCATCTTCAGCAGACTGCAGTCTCCACAGAACTGGCCCAGTGGTGACCCCACCACCACCCCACGGCACTCTCCATGGCCCTCACTTACGTAGATCACACGGCTTGGGGACCCCGACGTGCTTGATGCAGGCACGGAGACAATGCTCTCTGAGGAAGTCCTGGTTTCCTAGAACAGAATTGTACAGGTTGACCTGGAGCCACGCTGTTGGGCACCTTCTGGAGGCATCTCCAGGATATGGACAGAAATGACAGTGAGCTCAGCAGGTGGAATTTTCCCCCTTTTCTAGATTGAGGGAAGTCTTGGAACAAATGCACAGGCTTGGAATAACAACTGAAGACTACAATAAACACAGCAGGCCATTAGTGAAGATAAGGTCTCTACAACCCGTCACTCATGAAAAGCTCAGAATGCCCCAAGGGATGCTGGGGTGAGGTTATCATGTCTCTGAGGATGAAGGCAGGTGGGCATGTCTAACAACCATGGCATGCACCATCTCCATGGTGTATGGAACCTCTGCTATTTTCCAATGCTTAGTTCCTCTCCTTGGACAAATGTCAGTCCTCCAGCCACACCCAGCAGTCACACCCTCCCCTCTGCTGACCCAGCCCTCAGGCCATCTCAGCTACTCCTTCCTCCCTTACCTAGGCTCAGCTCTGCCAGTACCAGGTGATGCGTGATGTCACTGCATAACCAGCTTCCTCCCAGTCTCTGCCCTTGACAGTGCCCAACCCTCCTTACATGCCCTCCTCCCCTCCCCTCTGTATCGCTAGCTCTAGCTCCTCCTTCCCCTCCCTCATACAGATCCCCTGAATGTCCCACACCTGGCTTTCATCCTTACAGGCAAGGCCTGTGCCCCTGGCCACTCTAGACCCCTTCTCCTGGTCTAGTTCCTTGCATGCCCGTTCTCGTGCCTCTTGCTCGTCTCATCTAAGAAGAACATATTTCCACCAGGTGTCCCTACCTCTCAGAAGATGAGAGCTCTGACCCCTCTGCCCTGGGTCTCATGTCCTCCCCTGCATATCTTCAGTGACCCACACCACCACCACCCCCCCTCACTTTTCCTCAGGAGGCTCTTTTTTTTTTTTCCCCTCCGGAGTCTGCCATGCTCCTCTCCTGAGGCGGTTGACATCTGTCAAGGCCCTCATTGGTTTTCTTAAATTTCCCATGTTGAGGCCCTTTCCTGGAACCTCAGAGTGTGACCGTGTGGAGATGGGGGTCCTCGTAGAGGTCACAAAGGTAAAATGGGTCACTGGGTGGATCTAAGCCAATATGCTTGGAGTCATCCTAAAAAGAGTTCAGAACATGAACGCACACACAAGCACGTAAGAAAACAAGATGCTGCCACCAACCCCAATCAGAGAGGCCTCAGGAGGAGCCAGCCGGCCGGCCATCACCTGCAGCTTTGATCCCTGCCACAGGGAGGCAGGGAATGTGTTGAAACCTCCAGGCTAGAGGAACCAAGCCTGACCTGGAGGAGGCCTCCCCTCCTGAGCTCCTCCTACACTTAGCATGACACCAGCAGGGACAGGCAGACACCAGGACCAGATGGGCCACACAAGGCAGCAGGGAGCACAAACCTGTGAGGCACAGGGCAGGGTGCCCGGGCAGGGCTGGCTGCAAACAGAGCTGTGCATCTAGAAGGGAGAGAGGAGGGATGGCGTGAAGCTTGCTCTTCGGATCCTGCCATCCCCTCTGCAGCTCCTGCGCTCTGGACCCCTCAGCACTGAGCTCTGCCTCCCCTCGGGGCCCTTGATTTCTCAGCACCTCAGCTCGGGAATACACTGACAGGTACCCCTCCCTGGTACCACAGCTTTCGAGGCTGACGGGAATGGGATTGCCTCATGGCACTGACTGTCCAGTCCTTAGTCACCACATACCTCAGAACTGCTCCATGCAGTGGCCCTCTCATGCCTGTAATTGGTGCCTGTAAGACGGGGCCTGCTCTTCTAGTGATGAGAGGCCAAGTGGGTACTGTGCTCCACCGACCCTGGATGATGCCTGCCTGGCCCCTTCTCTGGAAAGTGGCAAGATGCCCAGAAAGGGGCCCGCTATTCCTGGCGTGCACTGCAGACCAATGTGGCATTCAGAGCATTGTCCCTTGGTCATGCCAGGGGAATATCTGAGCCAGCTCCACAGAGCTGACAGAAATGACCGCTGCCAGCTCTCTTTGTGCCATGGGCTCCAGCCACTCTGAGCAGAGATGATGTGAGCCCTCCTTAGACTCAGTGCCTAGCTCTGTGGGGGAGGGCAGAGGCCAGAACCTGACTCACCATCAGCAGAGGAGATAGGGAGAAGAGCTGGGGTGACTGTCACCAGGGTGAGAAGATGGGTATTATCCCACCCTCCACCATTCCTAACCTGTTCTGTTCCACAAAGACCCACAGTGAACTTCAGTGCCATGTTTCCCACCTGGCCTTGTGGCACTACCTTGTTCCCACCCACAGAGGTAAGAATAGGACCTGTAACTGGTAGGAAGTCCATGAGCCTCATTCACTGCCCTCTCCCCAGTTCCAGGTATAGAAAAAAACACATGGTGGGTGCCAGATGCTGTGCTAAGGATGTCTTGATACCTGTGGGCATTGGGTGCTGTGCTGAGGATGCCATGATACTTGTGTGATGGAGGAAGGTCATTGGCTAATAAAGGAACTGCCCTGGCCCATTTTATTGGTTAGAAGATAGGTGGGAGGAGAAAACAGAACAGGATACTGGGAGGAAGAGGAAGTGAGCTCAGAGACTTGACAGCTCTCCTCTAGGGAGCAGACGCCTGAGAGAGACGCCATGCCCTGCTCCCGGCATGAAGCTCCGACCCAGGATGGACTAGGCTAGAATCTTCCTGGTAAGACCGGTTCTCACAGATTATTAGAGATGGGTTGATCGGGATGTGAGAATTAGCCTGTAAGTGCTAGAGCTAAAGGGCCAAGCAGTGCTTAAAAGAATACAGTGTCCGTGTAATTATTTCGGGGCATAAGCTAGCCGGGCAGGCGGCTGGGGTGTTGGGGACGCAGCCCCGCCGCCGCTCCTATTACTACACTTGTGGGCATTGGATGCTATGCCAAGGACGCCATAATACCTGTGGGTTCTGGGTGCTGGGTGCTGTGCTAAAGATGCCACAATGCCTGTGGATCTGGGCAGTCATGACTACATCTCCCAATGTCCCCTGCACGTATTCTAGATGCTCAGGACCCTGTAAACAGTGGTTCTTGTCCACAACATCTTCCTTGCCTGAGTAGAGGAGGGACAGCGACACAGTTGGAGTGGCTTTCCAAACAGCAAGGAAGACCCATATTTCTTCCTGCTGGCCTGGCCCTGCATGGATAGACCAATCAGGAGCCAGGGTCTTAAAGGAGAATGAGTCCCCTGAGTGTCCTAGAGATGTCCCTAGAGATGTGACTATTAAGCCCAAGACAGGGAATCCATTTCTTGTCACTGGGTAGAAAGTAGGCTCTGCCTCCACTCAGTGGCAGATTTCAAGAGTCAATAACATAGGTGCCACCTTCATGCTGTGTTTCTCAGGAATAGTTTTCATAAGTCAGTCAGGCCTGCCTGGCTTCCCTTAATCGAGGGCAGCTCACACGCAGAGCAACAGAGTGCAGGAGTCTGACCCCTTCATCCTCAGGTCAGACCAGACATCGGCCAGTCCTGGGAAGCCCAGGCTGAATACCTGACAAGAAGTCAGCTTGTCTTAGGCTGCCCAGGCTCTGCCCCAAATGTTGACTGAAGGAGACAGCCTTCATATTAAGCTACTCACTTCTGTACAGACCAGAGAGCCCGGGATGTAGGGCCCACCTGCACAGGCCCAGGAAAACAAGGCTCCCTTATTCCCTGGTCTGGCAGCATCCATCCCTCAGGGCCTTCCATCTGTCCAGATATCACAGAAAATGAGGAAGGCTGTTGTCGCCTGCAGCTGGTATCGGGCAGGGCCATCCTACCCTACCTGGTCCTTGAAGCTGACTGTGGGAAGGGAGAAGAACAGGGTACCAGCTCTCTTTCCTAGCTCAGTCTCTGGTCAGGTCATTTCCCTGAGCACACGCATGCGTGAGAGTATATCTGGGGCCTCTGGGCAGGTCAGACTCCCTCTTCTGCTGAGTGGTTGGGCAGCACAGGGGACCCTGCAGGCAAGATGGTGTCAGGGTCTATCCACAGACCGTGACTGAGGGCGAGGATGCCCTAAGTGGCAGATGCATAGTTTGCAGAGAGCATCAGCACTGACGGAAACAGAGCATACAGTGTGCATTACTCATTGGCCTCCTACCTGGAAAGCCACAGCAAAGACTTAATAGGATGTCAGCGCAATGAGGCAGGAGGATGCACAGTCACAGGGGGGTGGGGAGGTGGGGAGGTGCGGGGGTGGTTATGAGCTCCTCACAGCCAAAGGCAGAGCTGCTGAGAGGATCCTGGACAGCGCCCTGCTAGCCACTGCCTCCCTGTGTTCCTCCCTGTTCTGTGTATCCCCCTGCTTCTGTTACAGCCAATCTTCCTCTCCCTTCTCCCCCATCATTTCCTTCTCCTGGGTTTTTCTTCTTCCTCCTCCCACCCCCCTTCCCTCTTCCCCTCCTCTTTCTGCCCTGCACCTTAACCACCCTGGAAATCACTGCTGCTCTTCTCCCAGGGCCTGGGTTTGAGCTCTCGAGCACCCTCTGAATGCTGCGCTTCCTTCCCACCCAGCGTGGCTGTTGTCTCTCCATAATCCTGGTGCCTGGCACACAGTAGGGCATCTATGGTGCTCAGGGCCCACGCCTTCTTAGAGGCTGACCTTTGCTCTCAGCCTCTAGGAGGCCATAGTTAACCTCATCTCAGCAGCAGCTGGGTTCAGGGAGGGCTGACCACACCTGATCATCTCAGGGTATGGGTGACCACGTCGGCAAGACCAACCTGTGCCCTAGGACAAGAGCCTCGGGTTGCAGGGGCTCAATGGATCTGATATGTGGGCTCGAAGAGTCACCCTCCTCCCTTGCTGGAGCCCCGGTGAAATCTCGAGCATGGAGCTTGCCTGGTTGGCGTGCTCTATGTGCCCTGTCCTGCATCTGTGCGGGAGGGTGAAATGCCTGTCTCCACAAGGAGAAGACAGAGGTTCTGCTTTGGGACTTGCTGTGTATTTGTATTCTGACCAATCTACCCTCAAGAACTTGCTCTATGGCAGGCAGGCCAGCTATCAGTGAGGGTGTAGGACCTGTTAAGCCCAGGCACAGTTTGAGCCCACAAATGTTCTGATGGCCATAGGGACTATTAGGGCTCTCCTAAATTGTCATGACCATCTGTGTTCACTGACTAGACAAGAAAGTCAGCAGGGCTGGGCCATCTGGTGTCCCTGGGACCCCATTAGACCTACATGATGGCTCATTGACCTATATGATCCCCTACCTTGTGGCCCTCTGTCCCCTGAGCCTGGCTGTCCTGCGATGTCTTGGAGACCTGGCTGAGAAGCATGAGTAGGCTGGCCTGCTCTAACCTGCATATGGAGAACACACCAGGAAGCCACAAATCTCACCAACCTTGCTCTTGTCTTCAGTCCTGGCTGCTTGCCGACATGCCGGGTGCCAGATAGAGGAGCCTGTGGGTAGATTCCCAGAGGAAGAGGTCAAAGAGCAGTTCTGGGTGCGGTGCCCACGCATGACTACCTGCTCAATACCCTTCAGACAGGCTCCACACCTCCTCTCCATGACACTGAGAGCAGCTTGGCTCATGTGGGGTAACGGCATGAGGGAAAGCAGAGAACTTCCCAATGTGGTCCGATTAGTTTTGTGGGCAGCAACACGGGTTCCAGGGAGCCTGGGCACACTGCCCAGCCTAAGCTAGCCAGACGGGTATTCTTGGAGGTAGCATCAAGTATAGAGGCAGGGGTAGGGAAGAAGCTCTCATGGCTGGGATACCATGAAAGTCATAGCACCACATTTGCCAGAGCTCTCTCTGGTCACAGCACCAACAACCTGCCAGAGACCACCTTCATGGAGAGAGTAGCTATGAGGAGCCAAACAGAAGACCTCAGAGTGGCTGGGAATGGTGGGGGCCCTACATAAGGCCCTGGCCATAGTCTTCAGCTCCCCAGAGAGCACAAAGAAGTGCCACTAGCCTGGTCAGACCTTCACTGCAGTGTGGAAAACCCATGCCTGAGAGGGAAGCCTGGACTCTGTGCCCACAGAAAGCCCTGGCAGGTCCCACTGCATTGGCTCAACATCCCAGACTCATGAAGGGGATCTTTGTTTCCAGAGATAAGGACACCTTCATGTGAGCACGTGTCCCAAGCCACTATGCCAGTGAGCCGTGCTTGGCATCGGCTGGCCCTCTAAGGGCTCCATTTACATCCACAGCGAGGCCTATGCAGAGGGCCTCCCACAGAGCAGCCACGGTGGCTGGCCTGACTCTCAGGATCTCCCTTGGGAACAACAGGCAACAGTAGGGATGAGACTGTCACATCTGACATCATCTCCAGTCAGGGAATGCCTCAGAAAAGGGAGGCCTGTCTCACACACAGATTGGAATGCCTCTCTGTGGTTACTCAGCATCAGTCTATAGACAGAACACAACAGATGCAGCTGCTACCAGCTCCGTCCCTGTCCCAGGACCCTAGGAGAAAGAGCAAGTTGCCAAAGAGATGAAATACAAACAAGGCCACAGATCGTGCCCACCCTATTGCTGGCCCCTGGCCCCCCAGTCATTCCAGTGTCCCCTGGTCAGGTGATCTGAGATGAAATCAATCCCCTCAAGCCTCCCGTGTCTGTCTCTCCTGCTAGCCCTGGGCAGGGGTTGAGGGGTGAGCTCTCTCCTCTTGCTGCATTCAGTCTGGTGAGGACCAGATCACCAGGCTGAGCCAATCCTCTGCCACCTTCCGTTTGAATGTAGGCTCCTGGTGGGCTCTCTGCTTTCCTAGTCACCTATTCACCCTGCAGCTCCAGCCTCTCGTCGTGGCCAAGCCAAGCCCACACCTCCTCCAAGCAGCACTCCCAGCCTTCTCTGCTGGTGTATCTGGGATGTCTTGGCCTCACAGCCACTCCCTCTGACTAACAGCCCTGGAGGGTAGGCTGACCAAGCTCTTGCACCAGGCCCTGACTGAACATCTTAACCTAAATGATGTCATTCCCAGTAGAGTTTTGAGATGAAACTATGGTGCTTCTTTGACTTTCCAAGAGACGGGACCAGAAGGGAACAGACGTAACCTCCCTCTCAGGCCTGAAAGACTGGCGACCTCTTAAGCACCTGTGTGACCTGGAGCCACCTTCAGTTGGTTGCTCTGTCCCCCATACTGCCTCAGGGGGGTCAGTGACCTGGCAATGCTGTCACCTCTCTGCCACTCCTGCCATTTGTGGCTTCATTGTGTCTATACCACCATGCCCTCTGCTCGGCTGTGGGCCGCTCAACCTATTTTAGGGAATGAAACATTGGATGGGTCTAAAGTGAGACATAGCCAAGAAGGGGCTAAGCTCCACTGTTGTTTTCCATTTTGACACTTATCATTGTAATTTATTTTTATTTTATTGGTATTGGGGGGGTTGCCATGGCACATGTGACGTATGTGAAGGTCAGAGGGCACATTCCAACAGCCAGTTCTCTCTGTCCACCTTTACTTGGGTTCCAGGGGTGGAACTCAGGCCATCAGGTTTGTGCAGTCAGGGGCTCCAGCCATGAAGCCACCTCACTGTCCCTATCAATATGAGTTTTAATGGTGTGTGGTTAGGGTTCTAGGGAACACATCGGAAGGCTCCTTTCTCCAAATTTCCCTTTGCCAATGTTGTGAAGACGGCTCCTTTCCACCCTGCAGGAAGGAAACCTGGTCTTGCTGCAGTGTAGAAGGGGCACCAAAAGGCTCAGGTAGGGCACAACTAAAGTCTTTGAGTCCTTGTGTGCGATGAGGCCTGAGGGGCAGCGGTGGGACCTCGTGGCCTACTCTTTGGCAGCCTGATCTTACTCACTCGGGTTCACTGACATCCTCGATGGCAGTGTGGCTGACTCGAGATCAGAGTCAGTGTGTGATATGCCAGCTCCCAGCAGCACTGTGGGAGTTTTTCACCCCGAGCATAGCGTGCAATAGGCACATCCGAATGCTTACCTTGCAGGTACATCTCCTCGCCCTCTGAGAACATCTGGCCGCACCTGACGCATAGCGCACAGGAAGGGTGGTAGTGCTTCTCCCCGGCCTGGGCAAAGCACAAAGCAGGTAAGTGTTGCCACTGCGGTGGGTGCCCAGGGGGCTATAGCATGCAGGATGGGTGTCCATTCTGTGCACACATCTGAGGAAGTGAGCACATCAAAGGCCCAGAAGCCTCTGAGATCAAAGATCTGCACAAGCTAGGGCGTATCCAGGGCCTGTTCAGAAGCTGGGAGACCTAGCTCCACCTGCCTGATCCTTGATCTCTGGAGACCAGATGTGCAGTCAAGCACCCCTGGGTGTGACTGTGGACAGGTCAATATAAAAGGAGGGTCTGGTCCCTTTACCTCTGCATGGCCTAGGGGACAAGAAGTGGAAGCAAGGATTGGAGGGTGGGAAGGGGCAACTTCATTTCTCCAGTGATGGGAACAGGGAGCATAGATTAGGGTTTTGGGGTTTTAAGGGGGTTGTTTTGTTTTGTATCTCTGTACTCCTCAATTCTCTCAATTGGCACTTTCTAGTTTAGTAATTATTTAAAAACCATTAAATTAGATTACAAATTTTAATCCTAAAACAAATAGATTACACTAATTGTAATTTCTTGCCTCTGGTTTACTTCTACATGGTGCCAAAAAGAGACCTAAAGTGCTGTTGCCACCATTCTCAGCAGTGAGCGCTGCTCCCAGGGTGTGGCAGGTGGGCCTACCGCTAGATGTGAAAGATGAAGCCATGTCTCACAGCAGCCTAAAACGGGAAGAGGCTCCACACCCGCTTCTGAACTTGAATCTTAATTGGCACCTTCCTGAATAAGAAGGGGGGGGCGCTAAGAGCACCTTACCTCACTCGCTACCTCTGCCTGTTTTCCCTTGGAAAAACTAGGCCAAGGCCCCTGCTTATGGGAAAGGAGAATCAAGACTCTCTCCCGTGTGGGCCTTGCCAGCTGCTCTGCACTTCCTCCTGGCAATCAGCTCAGCTCCTTCCATCCACGCTCATGTCTCGGGCCAAAGGATCTTCAAGGCAGAGAAGAGAGACCCCCCAACCATGGTGGCTGACCCCAGTCAAGGCCCCTGCTCATGTTAACTCTGCCACCCGGGTTCCTCTGGACCTCCCAGCCTCACCAAATGGCCTTTTTGCTCCCAAAGCCACCTCCTTCATAGGAGTCTTCCTGATCCCCCTAATCTTATCCCTTCTGACCCTCACAACTTGGCGAATATCCAGGCTTTTTCTTCCCAGAACACACTGGGCTTTTCTGGCAGGGGCTGGTGCCTGGGCCCTTCCAGGACTGAACTGCTTCATGGGCAGTAGCCATACCCAGGGCCAGCCTGAATGACAGGGTAAGGGTCCAGGTCATTTTGGTGATTACAATAGAGAACAGTGAGTGGGCAGGGGAATGCTGTGTTTTGAGTTCTGAGCAAAGGTTGAAAACCACTCTGTAATTTTAGAAAAGTCAGCTGATAGCCAAAGTTGATGTTCCCTAGTTCATGACCTTCCTTCCTTCCCCCTGCTCCCCACAAGTCCTCCCAGCAGGCCTGTGACAGCCCCAGGGTAAGCAAGCCCTGTGTCCACTTATGAATTTAAAGAGACATAGAACACTGATGGAAAGAGTTTCTGAGACACTAGGTTCAGGGCTGGAGAGATGGTTCAGTGGTTAAGAGAGTTTGCTGATCTTCCAGAGGACCTGAGTTCGGTTCCCAGCACCTACGCTGGACAGCTCACAATTACCTGTAACTCCAGCTCCAGATTATCCTATGTCCTCTTCAGGCATGCCACACATGTGACATACATGGAGATATAAACACATTGGGGAGATAGAGGGAAAGAGAGAGACAAAGCGACAGAGAGAGACAGACGGGATTTCTCTCTGTAACAGTTGCTGCCATCCCTGTGACTTGCCACACTGCGCGTGTGCGCACACACACACACACACACACACACACTACTCAGTTCCACACATACTAGGGGTTCAGTTCCTTTATATAATACACTGTGGGTGCATTTCAGCCTTCACTGTCATAAAAGGCAGAGGGAGACTTGAGCAGGGCCATTTGGTGGGCAGACACAGCAGAGCTGGGATAGAAGCCCAGCAGGCCCCAAGTGCACACATTTCAGACTGGGCCTCCCAATCCTACCTCAAAGTCCTCGACTCCAGGGTGCAGATCACATATTCACATGTCCCCTCAACCCTCATGCCCTGAACAAAGACAGAGAGGAAGCAGACAGTCTGAACAGTAGAGAAGAACAGCCAGCACAGAGGAGCCGGACCCAGGTTTATCGGGTCCGTTTGAGAGGGTGGTGACTGTCCTGGGGTGACTGGAAAAAGTCCACAGAGGCTGGGTGTGTTTGTGGGCATAGCTTGTATAGTGGAAGTGTGTCCAGGTGCACATGGCCGCTCCTCTCTGCATGTAAGTGTGCATATAGACACTCAAGTCTAAGAGTTTCATAAACAGACAGAGGACCTAACTACAAGATCCAAAACAGCACAACTGTCAAGAGAAAAGCTCGCACAGAGCCCTTATTAGCCTGGATGAAGACTTAGATTGGACAACCAAACCATAAACAAAAGAAGGACAATCGGAAAGCAGACTTCAGAAAGACCTGCCAAAAGCTCCCGTTCAGCAAAGGGCACAGGAGGAGGCTAAGAAGACAAGCGGATGAAGGGGAGGATAGCTTTGCAAGACATAGATTCAGTAAGGGCATGGGATCCAGAATATGTAAAGAACCATTGCCATTCAATGATACACCACCCAGAGAAGAGAGGAACAGCCCTTTTTGCCTGTGGATGATGCTGAGGAAGTGTTATTGAGAGTTCTCGTCTCCCTGCTGCCAGATCCAAGTCAGGCTCCTAAAGAACCTGAACAGATATGGAAGCAAGCTCTTATGGGAGGGTGGGGCTTTAAACCATCTCTGAATATCTGAGGAACCACAGAGAACACTTACTGCCACAGGGCAGGAGGCGGATGAAGCCATGAATGAAAGGCCACATAATGTGCCTAAAAGAACAGTGAAACCAAAGGCAGCTGAGAGAACATCCTCAAAGACTAGGTGCCCACTTAACCATGGGAAGGAGCTTTCCTTCTATGACCACAGCCAAATACACCCTGGCCACTTCTGTCCTTACAGCTGTCAGTCCTGCCATAACCTGCCGGCCATCACCCTGCCCACCACTGAGGAAAGCCACCTAGAGATTCTTTTAGTACAGCCAGGGGAAGTAAAGCGACTGGAACCGTGATGGCAGCAGGAGAAAGGACAGCATTGTTCATTACCTCGAAGGACCAAAGCTCTGTGGATGAGGCTGTTGTTCAGAAATGCCATACTGTGAGCAGCCATCTTGAGAGTGGCTGCCACGCAGGGAAGAGAGAAGGTTGGGAAGTGAACCCTGTTCACACCTGAGATGTCCAGTACTTCCTGTAGACCCACATGGTTTTGGAAACTCTGGTGGTGGTTGTGGAGGCGGTTTGGGTGGCGATGACCACCTTGGTCATGAAGGAAACGACAGGGACCATTGTATTGGTGGATATAGTGGCAGTGTTGATGATTCTAATGAGTTTGGTAATGATGGTGGTTTCGGGAGAGGGAGTCCTGGTTCCTCTGGAGAAGGCAGAGGCTATGGTAATGGCGGATGGGGCTATGGTGAGATGGCTATGACAGCTTTAACAATGGGGGACAGGAAGGAAGTGTTGCAATGGCAATAGAGGCAACTGTGTAGGTGGTGACACCTATGGAGGTGGAAATCACAAAACTCAATCTTCAGACTTTGGACCCATGAAGGACTCTGGAGGCAGGAGCTCTGGCCCTGTGGTGTGGAGGTTCCTAACACTCTGCCAAACCATGAAACCAAGGTGGCTGCAATGGGCCCCAGCAGCTGCAGTGCTACCGAAGAGGCAGAAGGTTCTAACCATTGTCCAGAAACAAAGTCTAGCTGGCCAGGAAGGCTAGAGATGTGACAGGGAACAAGACTGTGAACTCAGGACAGTACCTGTGACGGGTTGTATAACAGGGTGTTTGCTTCTGTTCTGGGGGGAAGCATGTAGCTCTCAACAAACTGTTTTTGTTTGTTTGGTTGGTTTGGTCTGGTATTTTGAGACAGGGTTTCTTTGTGTAGCCCTTGCTGTCCTAGAGCTAGCTCTGTAGACCAGGCTGGTTTCGAACTCACAGAGATCCACATGCCTCTGCCTCCCAAGTGCTGGGATTAAAGGTGTGTGCCACCACCGCTGGCCTCCAAGTGTTTTAACGTCAGGTTTTTTCACTCAGTCAGTTGATTGACAAGTGTACTGGTTTGATCATGACACCAATTAGGTATGTCTTTAAAAAACAGAAGAAACTGGATCTCTTAAGAGCTTAGGAGGGCTTGCTGTGCTTCCAGAGGGGCTGAGTTCAGATCCTAACACCCATGTAACAAGCCGAGCATGGTTTCATGTACTCCTCTGGCCTCTGAGTGCAGGGGCACACAGCCACACACCTCTGCACATGTATGTAAATACACATGGGTGGGGGTGGGGCAACTTGGCTAGCCACTTCTCCAAAAATGATAAGAAAGTGATGGAGCAGAAAAGATGGTCAATGTCACACATCACTGCCATAGGGACTTGCTAACCAGCTCCTGACCTGAGCAGACAAGGTGTCTCATACCCAGCAGAGCAGCTGTACGTGTACAAGAACAATCAAGACCATGGGAAGCCTGTGGGGAATTGGATCCACTCATGGTACAAACTAGAAATCCACTGCATGGTGTCTAAGAAAGAGCAAAGACTCCTATGCCCAGTTCGCAGCAACATGGCACACGCTGGTCCTAAGCTCACACATGCCCTGTGAAGGAGGCAGTGCGGCACATCCATCCATAGGATGCTGTGTCTTAGACAGGAGGAGGTACCCACAGGTGCCACAGTGTGGACAGCCTAGAGGAGCCAGTCATGTAAGGTCAACTGTGTGACTCAGAAACACCCAGAACTGGCTAATCCACAGAAGCAGCCAGGGGCCAGAGGTGACCTTGCCTTGGCTCTTTGACTTGTGAGGACACTCAGGTACGTCAACCTCCCCCCCTTCTCTTGCTGCTGCTGCTACAAACAAAGGGAGCACAAAAGGCCAGTGGAGGTGACAGAGTCAAAGTATCTTTGCTGTTGCTGTCACAGTCCACGGTCACTGTGTTTCCCTTACAGTGAGGGGTCTTGTAGTCATCTATCCAAGCAGGGTTTCCCAGGAAGACCAAAGCATCAAGAGAAGGTTGCTTCAGCACTGAACGTCTGTGTCACTACCTCTGCATCCCCAGCCGGCAGATGGACTAACCCCTTGCCTATTTGGGGCTCAAGATGGCTCAGATTTGAACAGTGCATCAGAAGCCCAAAATGTTTTGGCAATGTGTGGTTTTAGAAAAATAGCTTATGCCTCCCAACAAGCAACTGTCATCTTTAGCAAAACAGACCAAGACTGGCTATGGAGATGTGAGTAGCTCACAAGGGCACGAAGCTCCTACAGCCCCAGGAGGGCTCATTTCTAACCAGTGGATAGCTTAGGTGTCAGCATTCACTTAGGAGTGGTTTTATCGTTTGTTTTACATAAGTCTCTTGAATACACTTCTAAAATAAGCACACTGGTTACTGATTTTAGGGGCTTGAGATGCAATCTTCATTGCCTGTCTTCAGCTTTCAAATGCTCCCAACTATTTGAAAACACAGTTTCTCTGCCGGTAGTAAAGAGCACATGCGTATAGAGTGGCAAGGAACGTGTTCATGGGAATACAGAAGTGGGCAATGGAAAGCAACATTCCACATCACAGGAGATGCGTATGGAAACAGAGAAGCTTGTGTGGGTCCCTGACCCAGGCCAGAGCAGGACAGGCCTCGTCTCCTCACCATCCTTCATGGCAGGGACCCCGTTACCTCATGTTTGTGGGGAAAGCCTCCAGCTCACAGTGGAACACAGTGAGCCCCATAAAAATTAATGCCAGGAATGGAGAAGGAAAGAAAAGGGAGATGGGGGAGGGAAGAAGAAGTGAGGAAGGAATTAATTAGTGGTCTCAGTGGGGCCTGGGCTTCATGTTGCCATGGTGATAGCCATCGGTATAAAACAGCACTGAAAGTGGGGTCCACACCACGGTGCCATCAGGGTTAATAGAGTGGGGCCAAGTTATACCCCCATACCATGCTCATCCCCACCTTTGCAGAAAGAAGAAATAGGGCTTACAAGAGGGCTCGTTAAGGACTAGGCTCTGAGCCCTGCAAGGGATACACGCTCCTTCCACACCTTTCTCCTATACCCAGCTCCAAAGGACTCCCTAAGGACATGCCTCATGAACCCTCCAGCAAACTGCCGCTCTCTGAGTGTTGACTTCAGCCACTCAGGTCTCTGCCTGTCAGCCAAGTGTGAGCTCTGCCTCCTCGCCCACATGCCACATCTGTTCTTACCTGTCCATCTCTGCTAATGCCCCATGAGCCCACATGGCGCAGGCTCCTCAGAACCGCTGCCAGTGATGGGAGCGACAGAGGACAAGAAGAGGGAGGAGTACCCTCCATCACCAGGAACGCACATTTCCCAGGCAGTACTGCTTGCACCAAGAGCTTAAGATGGCACTGTGCCTACCTCACACAGTCACAGCACAAATGGGGCTGTTGTGGGGGAGCACAGGAGGCTGCCACGTGGGCATCACAGAGAGGACAGCTGGGGGCTGAAAATGGTCTTGGGGTCAAGAGGAACCACAGGCACCTCCAGCAGCCCACCCATCTGGCTCAGCACAGCTCCTGCCAGCTCTGCCAGGCTTCCTACCTGCACAGGGTCTGTCCCCAGCCCTTCTCAGTGCACGAGCCCTGAGGGTGCCACCCTCGCCTTCAGCCAGCCTTCATATGCTTGTCCTTTTTTTCTTTCTTCCAATAAGTCCCTTGTTCTTGCAGCTCCCCAAGAGCCCGGTGTCACCAGCCGGGCGCCAGCCTGCCTGGCCCAGCCTCAGGCGGTGCCACTGCAGCGCTGCTCCCTTCTGCAGAGCTGGCTGTCTCCACCCGCAGCTCCCACCTCACACCCGCCAGGAGGATGCTCAGAGCTGTGCTGAGTCCGCGGCACAACGGCTCAGTCATGCCACCTCCAGTAACTACCACCACCACCACCGCAGCACACTCGCCCCCAGAAAAAGCAAAACCAAAGCATGCAATCCCTGGAAGCACTTTTCTCCTCCTCCGTGGGCTATAGAGGAAAACCAGGACTGTCCAGATCCTACCAGCTAGGAGAGCCCCTTTCCACAGTCCAGAGAGAGTACACAACAGTACTTAACAGCACCTAGTCCCTACTTCTGCACTTGGCTCAGAGACACAATAAGGGTGCTCACTCTACAGATGTGGTCATGTGCTTGCTCTCACCATGCAGGAGGAACACCAATGGCCTCACAAGGATGTCCCTCCCATGCATTATCCTGGGGCAACTCAGAGCTGAGGTATGGGACATGGCACATGTCAAAACACAAACCTCACCAACTCACTGTCAGCCCATCTCTCAGCACTGGGCCAGGTCTGCCCACCTAAACTAGCTTTTCTAGGTGAGTTTGCTGGGCTCTGCTATTAATTGAGTTGGGTTCCCAAACTGTGCTTTTAGTAGCAACAACAACGGCACAGCCAGACCCCAGATGCACCCACATCAGCCCACAAGGTCATGACTTGGTGAGACAAGATTAGGTTGCTATGCCCCTCAAGGTCTGTTCTCGGGCAGAGGTCAGGAGATTTAGGGCAGCCTTTGTCCAAATGAGGCTCTGCTGGGGGATTCCCCACACCTGGCTGAGCCTTAGAGACTTCTTCATTTCTGAGAAGGACAGCTGTAAGGTCAGCCAGGTGCACAGGTGCCAAGGTATTTGGGAGAGACAGGAGCCCTGGATCCATAAGGGAAGACAGGAATGATTTCCTGAGCTTGAGGTCTTCTGTGGGAGGGCAAAGTGCAGGCTTCGGTGCACTATGGGCAGGGACACTGAGAGTCAGGGAGGCCAGGTGTCCTGTCGAAGGGAAGCAAAACCACACAGTGATCACAGTCACAACCATCTCAGGGGCTGACGCTGGTAGATGCTCTTTTTAACAGGAGCCACTTAGGCTGTTTTAAAAAAAAACTCCCTGGACACATAGAACTCAGGAGCAGGGAGAAGGAGGATCAGGAGTTCAATGTTAGCCTCAACCATGCAAGTTCAAGGCCAGCCTTGGGCTACATGAGACCATGATTCAAAAAAAGTTAAAATAAAAAATAATGAAAACAAAAGTCATCAGGGATGGACTTCCTATTCAGGGAGAGAAACAGGGAAGGATCCTAGGCAGAGTGAAACTCCTGAGTCCGTGGGAGGAAAAGGCAGGGCAGTGGTCAATGGGCATGGGACCAGGCAGTGGGATGGTCTTTTGTCCTCAGCCATGATTTGCCTGTATGATTACCAGCTGTGCTCCCCACACAGGGCAAGACTCACAGGACCCACAGGAGACAAAAGTCACAATCTTACTACACAACCCACTCAAACAACTTGAAGACCTCAGTGCAGAGGCAAGTGAGGTTTATGATAAAGAGGCAGAGCAGCCAGCCTGCCTCGGGGCTAGGGAAAGGCAGAGCCTTATGCCAGAGCCAGGTCAGCCAAGGGTGAGGTGGGAGAGGACCAGAAGACTCTAACCAAAAAGCAAGTAATTTATAGTGACTGCCACAAACTGTGCAAGTGTTTGCAGTTTTGATTCAGCATCCATGTTTCTGTGGACTTATCTGAACGAGAGTACAGAGATTGCTAGCATGAACTGAGCCTTGGGAAAAGATGTTCACTGTAGCCTTATTTACCAAGTAAATCAGAGTATGCCGTGTTTAACGAGGGGACCAACCTAGCACGTCTCAGGTCCCATGTGAGGAGGTGTGTGACACATGTTGGCCTGTGCATACATCTGAGTGAGCTGTGTCAGGCTATGGAAAAGAAGTGGGTCACAAGAGACACACACGGCGTGGCACCATTAGCAAGAATCTGTACGGAGAGGGAGGGGCTTGGATTATGCCAAGGGTTCCGGGCACAGGGAAGGGACAGCTAAAGGATTCGGGGCTCTTTCTGAGATGACTTAGCTCTTAGACAGCGCCAGCCCCGGCCGTGGGCTTCTCACCTCCAGCACGCGGCCTGTGATGTACTTCTCACAGCCGTCGCAGCGGATGCCAAACTTAGTGTGGTAATCAGCCTCACAGTAGGGCAGCCCATCCCTGCAATGAGACAGGCAGTCAGCACGACACGGGGTCACCCGCTTTGTCCCCAACATGCAACAAAATTCGTAAGAGAACACGGAGGCCAGGCAGCTTCCTCCTGCTCCCAGGGACAATTCCTGGACAGGTATTTACCACCTGCTTTGCCAACTCATGGGAAATATGAAAAGATGAGACTGCCTCCTGCCTGTGTCTTCATGTGTGGCTGTACGATGGCAGCAGGAGTCAGTGCAGAGGTAGACTGTTCTAGAAGCTGTGCTCAGGAGAATGGCCAACTCTCCCGTGATGGGCTAGCCATCAGCCCACTGTCATGGGAAGACAGTGCAGACAGGCTATCCCCCAGCTTACCTATCCTCTTTCCCCAGCACTGTGAGCCTAGCAATAGATGAAGGGCCACAAAAGCAGGAGAGAGGGCTTGGAGAAGGGAATGATGAGGGAGGCATGGAGGATGTAGGTGGGACCTTTATCACTCCACTTAGGACGGGAAAGAGTTCCTGGGAGGAGATATAAAAACAGCCTTGGACTCAAATGCCACGTCCCAAGTGTGCCACTCAACATGTCTGAACCTCAGCCCCTCCCACTAAAACAGGATAAATGAGAGCGAGGTCTTCATAGGAGAAGGAGATGCTGGGGGCTGGCTTAAGAAAGCACTGTCAATGTCCGAGACTACTGCTGTTGCTAGCTGCGGCTGTCTTCAGCCACGGGCCACAGCTCACCAGGAGTTAGTGTGGAGGTGACAGGAGGGAGACACCTGCATACCCACTGGAGCTGCAACTATGGTGAACTCTACCTAGATTTCTGCAGCCATGACAAGCAGGCATCTTTGGGCTGTTGGGGTTTAGACTGGGTGCCACACTCCTTCCCTTAATACTGGGACCCTCGCAAGACCCCAAGGTAAGTGCTGCAGGGCTGGGTGCCCCCCTGTGACTGTCCTCCATTGATCCCAGGAGAGAGGACACAGACCTAGAGACCCCACAAGTTCATATATCTACAGCAAACCCAGGAAGTTCTTAGATTCCATCTCCATGGCAACACCAGTGCGCTCTCCCCCTCAGTTCTGGGATGGCTCTGGAGGCTGCTAAGTAACATGCTGGTGTGGGTGAGCCACCAACGCCCTGTGTGGGGTGGTACTTGATGGGGCAATTCTGCCATTTTCTTCAGAGTCCTGCACACCAGGCTCTGTCCGCCTGAGTCACGCCCCACAGTATGACTGTGATGGAGGCTGGGGGACTCGGGCTTCGCAGACCCATCCGTCTGAGTGGAAGCCCACTTTGGCTTGGGAGCATCACTTTAGGCAATGTTTCATTTTGTGATCAATGGGTCACATGGTATTCTAACCAGGAACACAAAGGGGTCCCTGGTACTCTATTCATCCCTGTGTGACAGAGTATACTGTCGATCTGGGTGCCAGCATGAACACAGTGGCCTCTAGGACTCTGTACATGTCCTCCTGAACATTTGTATATATGCATATGTATGCATGCACATACATGTACATATGGGTGTGCACAAACGTGCATGTTTCTGTGCATTATTTGCACTGTGTGCATACATGTGTATTTGTGTATGCGTGTATATGCATACATGTGAGCATGTGTGTACATGCATGTGCGCATGCATATGTGTACACACACTCCACTCTATGCAATCTTATCAGGGGACCTTTTCTACCTAATCAATGCCTATATGGATTCCAATTTTGGAGCATGGAGGAGGACATTCCTGTGCTAGGGGCACTCTTTCAATCACCACCCAGCTCACTTCACCTGCACTTTCTGCCTCACCTCCCTGATCCCAGGGTTAAAATATATTCCAGTTTAGCTAAGCAGTGGTGGCACATGCCTTTAAGTCCAGCACTCAGGAGACAGAGACAGGTGGATCTCTGTGAGTTCAAGGTCAGCCTGGTCTACTGAGAGAGTTCCAGAACAGGCTCCAAAGCTACAGAGAAATCCAGTAGCTTTGGAAAAGCCAGTGTGTGTGTGTGTGTGTCCCAGCTCAAGACATGATTCCATGGCCTCTGGCAAATGCTGCCTCCTCCCCAGGCAGGCTCACCCCCTAACAGCATGCTGGGAGAGTACTGAGCCAATGGGTAGAGGATATCCCAGAGTCCATCTCTGCAGATCAGAACATGTGCCTGTAAGCTCCCATGTTCCCATAGGGACAGCAAGACTCATGAGTCCTTGCAGCTAGCATCTATCAGTTGTTCTGTGCTCTGCAGGTCATCCCGTGCCAGGAATATCCAGGCACCAAGCAGGTGGTAACATCCTGAAACATAGGCAGGTGTTCTATGAGGCAGAGCTGGCAGCCCCATTCCTCTGCTTCGAGCCACAAGTCAGAGCTGGAGCTGCAAACCACTTCAGCATGGCTCCTAGTGAGGAAAAGGAAGGTGGCAGGGACCAGAGCAAGTCCCGGCCTTGGCTCTTTACCCAGGAGCAGGACTAATCAACCCACCAGGACTAGGCGCCCTGCTCCACCTGCAGCATTTGGCAAGGCCTTTCTGGGCTGTCTCTGTCTGCCACACTTACTTGCTGATGTACTCTGCATTGAGGAGTTTCCCACAAGTCTTGCACTTGAAGCAGCCCAGGTGCCAATGCTTGTCCAAAGCCACCAGGGCCTGGCCATTCTTGATTTCTAAGCCACAGCCCCCACAACCTGAAATAGAGAACAAACTGACTTACTGCAAGGCCCAGCAACCCCACCAGGGGCACTCAACCCCTCAGAATCTTAGGCCCCACGGAATCACCCAGAACAGCCCTGGGGGACAGGTACAGACACAGAGGTGTGCTAAAAGGACCCTGTCTCACAGTTCCAGGGAGCCCTTGCACAGCTCGTGGTGAGGCTTGATCCTGTGTATGAGGAGCGCTGACACTAGGCAGCCTGGGCTGGAGAGTGGGTAAACCAAGGCAGAGATGAAGCTGGCTTTCTAAAAGATGGGATCCATCATAGTGCAGAACCATATCCTCACACCAGGGTGTGCTGAGTCTAGGCTGGCCTGGGCTTGGGGCAGCCTGCTTGGTTATGCACTGGCAGCTCCTGGTAAGGAACTTCCCACCCTTTGCTAGAGGCAGAATGTTGAACTTACACATAATATGTGTAATCTCACCAGAGGGACATGACCTCCCCGGAGAGATCTGAACCCCAGTCTTTCTTGTCACTCCTACTCCTGGCCCCACTTCCCCACCTTTCTGGCTTTCCCTCCTGGAGAGCTGAGTCCCAACCTTCGCCTCCACTCCCCGCTCATCTCACCCGCCTAGAGCCCCCTCCTAGGGATTCCCTTTGCTCCACAATCCCCAGCTCCTCCTCTGGCTATGAGGCCCCTGCATTTGGAATTCTCTTTCCCTCTGTTCTCTGTGCTGTCCCCTCATCAGCTGGGAACTATCCCAGGCCCAGATGGCTTCTTTGGTGCCTGCCCTACTCATCTCTGCTTTCTCTCTCCAAACCCCACCTCCACCCCTGCCACAAAGACCAGCCATTCTTCATGGTGCCAGTGTCTTGGTCTGAAGCTCTGATCAGGAGGCTGCCTGATGCCTCTGCCCTCCCGCTGTGCCCACATAACGCTGAGGGCTCTGGGCCTCGGGTCCTGGCTCTACTTTGCTGAGCAAACTGGTCCCTCCATACAGGGAACTGCTGTAACAGGGTCTCTGCCACTCACTGAAGGATGTGTGGGCTCCCAGCAAAGTGGAACAGGCAGGGAGTGTAGGGAGAGTACGCAGGGGTGACTGTGGGGACATGTGCATCCTGCCTGCATGTATCTGTGCAAGGATGTGGAGGTATTTTTTATTTTTTATTGTTTTTGGCTTTTTTGAGACAGGGTTTCTCTGTGCAGTCTTGGATGTCCTGAAACTCACTCTGTAGACCAGGCTGGCCTCGAACTCAGAGATCCACCTTCCTCAGCCTCCCGAGTCCTGAGATTAAAAGCGTGTGCCACCACTGCCTGGCTTATGTATGGGTATATTATGTGCTGTGTGCAGCCTGTGTGGGCACAACTGCTTCTTAATTTCCAGGGCTGGGAGCCAGGACCCCTGGGACACTGAAGTCTTGTCTCAGAATAGGCACAGCCTTTGCTCTTCTGTACAACCCTCCCCCCACCACAGCCTTAATGTTCTTTTAACCAGTGCTATCTGGAGCACACAAACACTGTACTCACTGGCAGTAACGACAAGGAAGATATGGGCACGTGCTCAGTACACACACACTTTGGGTTTTTGCTTGTTCCTGCTGGACTCAAACTCATTATGTAGTTGAGGGTGACTTTGAACTCTTGATCTTCCTGCCTCCACCATGCTAGTTCTGGGATTACAGAGACACTCAGGTGTTCAGTGTTTTATGTGGTGGTAGGCCGCATTTTGTGAGAACCACGCCAGTGGCTCCCAGGCAGGGATGATTCATTCCCAGAGGACTTTTAACAAGATCTGGAGACCCTTTTGATGGCTCCAATAGGGGCAGGCCTCTGTGTGTGCAATGTGGGATTGGAGGAGATGCTAGGCCTCCTGCCTAGCTCTGCACAGAGGCTATCCCAGAGAAAATGGCCCCAAATATCCATAGTGCTGGGACTGAGCAGCTTCTCTGGGTACACACAACAGCTGGCCTATGGGTGACACCACACCAGACAGAAGACATGCCTCCTGCAAAGGTGTCAGAGGCCATCTCCAGGTGAGGCTCCTGACGCCCAGGCACTAACTGCCTCCCAGCTGCTACGAGACCGCTGCCAAGTCACTTGTGTATCCCAAGGCAAGAGTAATGTTCTTTAGGGCTAATGATAGCTCTGACCCACAGAGAGCAAAGGCAAGCACAGGTTCCGGGTGTAAAGACTGTACCTAATGAATGAGGAAAGGCAGGTACAGACGACATCTACCAGAGAGCCTGGCTCTGCTCTAACGGTTAGTCCTGTGGCCAGAGCTGGGGCTGCGGCAGAGGTCCCAGGAATGACTGCCACTCTGTTGCCACCAACCCACCTGGTACTCCAGAGTAGGGAGTGGAGGACTATCTGGGTTCCTCTGCCTGGAATTCTGTGTCTCTAGGCCACCATAAAGCTGCTCTCAACAACCTCCCCCATGCCTGTCCCTGAAAGGTTTTAAGGAGTGTTGTCATGGGAACACAGTGCCTACTGTTGATGCCTCTGGTGCCCTGGCAGCCCTGCATGGCTCTGCCAGTGGCAGAGCAGTTCTGTGACAGAGACTGCCTATCTGCCAGTCATAGGACATCCTTAGCAATCGACGAGAGATCTACAGGGTTTCCCAGAGATATCTGTCTCCCACCCTGTACACTGCATATGGCTTGGCCATCAAGGTGGGCCAGGTCTTGTGCCGGCACCAAAAGGGAAGGATAGAGAGGAGACTGGGAAGGCTTCCTGGGGGAGGATGCCTAGCACTAGGTGACAGCAGAAGGGATGTGGAATGGAAAACCTGAGGAGGCTGTGATGGGCACAGCCTGTGCAGAGGTTCAGTGGCAGGAACAGGGAGATTACCTGCTGGGTCCCCGGTGTTCAGTGCTCTGTTACTGTGCTGGTCCCATAACGTCAGGCTCAGCCACTCCCCCATCCCCCCCACTCTTTCAGCTTAGCACCCCACCATACAGAGGCCTAGCCACACTTACTCCGGAGGCCTTGGGCCAGGTGAGCACTACTGCCCAGCGTCGTGGGCGGGGAACACTTCTGGCACACACACTCCTTTCCATTGAAGGTCACACGATCCCCGGGAGGAAATGGCAACCTGAAATGAAAGTGAACATCCTGTTGGCACCTCCGGTCTTTCTCTCTCGGTGTCACTCCTGACTCAGCAGATGGTCCTCTTTCTGGGAGATCAAGAACTTGACAGACTAGACTGGGCCCAGGTCCCAGCCTTGCTGGCTGGTCCTGCAACCTCCTCATCCTTTGGCTGACCTGGGTTCCCCACAGCTCATGGATGCCGGCACTTGTTGCCTGCCAGTGCTGTGGTCTGAAAGCTACCATGATGCATCTCCCCAGGTACAGGGGGACTTTAGGACTGAGTAGGAGTCACTGACAGTCTCTAATATGCTAAGACATACTCCAGCTGTTCAGCTTCAATACATTACACAGCCTCTCTGTGTTCCCCTTTCTCACCTGCAAGAGAAGACTAACGACACGCATCACAGGCTTGTCATCTGTAGTAATAAGAGCAGCAGGGCTGCGTCCCCGGCACCCGGCTGCCCACATAGCTAGGAGCTGCGCTGGGCTGCGTTCCCACCCAGCTCCGCAAGGCTAGCTTTACCCGAAATAATTACACGGACACTGTATTCTTTTAAACACTGCTTGGCCCATTTCTATCTAGCCTCTTCTAGGCTAACTCTCGCACCTGGACTAGCCCATTTCTAATATTCTATGTAGCACAGCTAGGTGCGCTTACCGGGAAGATTCTAGCCTACGTCCATCCTGGGTCAGAGCTTCATCGCGTGCGTCTGCCTGGGAGAGGGGAGGATGGCGTCTCTCTCTGAGGCGTCTTACCTCACTTCCTCTTCCTCCCAGCATTCTGTTCTGTTTACTCCACCCACCTATGTTCTAAGCTATGAGCCCAAGCAGTTTGTTTATTACTTAACCAATGAAATCAACAGATTGATATATGGCACTCCCACATCAGCCATCCATTCAGACATCCATGGTGGAACGGGCTAGCCTAGACTCCAGGGCTGTGAACACCCAGTGGCCATTTCCCTACAAGCTCGAATTACTTAACAGAGATTATTCTAGAAAATGTTCTCAGTATAATCAGCGCCATCGTGCCATGGAACATCTGGCCAGTGTAAAATGTCCCCGGGGCTCTCATCTGCTACCCCACTTCCCATATCCCAGACAACAGAGCCATCCATTCGAGCCTTTTGTTCAGGGCCACACTGCCATGATCTGCCCATGTTGCCATTCCTCATGTCAACAGTTTGTTCTTTTTCAGGGCTGAGTATTACTCCAGCACATCTGTCCAAAGGCATCTATCTGGGTTGTTACCACTTGGAATTACCGGCACCTGCCTCGTGGGACTTCCTTTTCCAGAGTGGAATTCCTGGTCACCTACTACGTGATTCTGTCTCTAAGGAAACTGCATCACTTCACGTCTCAGCCCTTGCCATGTGGCCTGGCTGTCATAGCTCTTGCTATTACCCACCATTCTTTGTATCTATGCCAGCAGGCACAGCTGCCATTTTACAGTTGTTTTGGTCAATGTCCCCACTAGCTAATGGTGTAAATGAGGTGTGTTTTCTGTATCTTTTGGTCATTTGCATATGTTCTTTGGTGAAGCATCTGTTAAACCCTTCGGCTCCTTCTGGATGTTTCCTTTGGATTGTAGAAGTTCTTTACATATTTGGCCTATATAGGTTACTTCCTCGTTGCTATGACAAAATGTCCAAAAAAAAAACATCTTGAGAGGAAGGATTTATTGCTCCATGTTTTATAGATTTTATGTTTTTGTCTGCTCTGACATAGAACTTCAGTCTATTGCCGAGGCTAGCCTCCTACTGCAAGCTCCTTTGAGATTCTGCTAATATCTTCCCTCCAGCCTGCAAAACCATCACCCTGTAGCAGGGCAGGCCTGCTGGGGTCAAGTTCACTTAGCTCTTGTGTGTCCAATAAAGACTTTTGTCTCTGTCTCTTTTTATGGTGCATATTTATTGATGCTCAGTATTCTCATGCCTCAGTGTATAACCCAATGGAGTTAGTGTGCCCAGGGCTGGGACACCATCATCACAATTGATTTCAGAACATTTCAATCACCATTTTTATCAACAAGGTCAGTCAACTCTGGGTCAGGTTAATCATCCTGCAGAATGGCCTCGGGCTGAGTCTGGCCTTCTTCAGGAGGACTTTGGCTAAACACAGCACAGGTGGATCTCATTTTCCTGTTGGTGCTTACAAACATCGTCTGTCTCCCATGTGATGGGGGAGGTCCTTCTGTCTATGTGTTGCTCTTATTGGTTAATGAATAAAGAAACTGCCTTGGCCTGTTGATAAGGAAGAAGTTAGGTAGGTGGGAAAAACTGGCTGAATGCTGAAAGAAGGAAGGTGGAAGGAGAGATGCCATGGATCCACCACCAGAGATGGACATGCTGAAACTTTGCTGGTAGGCCACACCTTGTGGTGATATACAGATTAATAGAAATGGGTTAAATTAAGATGTAAGAGTTAGCCAATAAGAAGCTGTAGCTAATGGGCCAAGCAGTGTTTTAATTAATACAGTTTCTGTGTGATTATTTCAGATCTAAGCTAGCTGGGACAAACAGCCCTCCTTCCTACAGATTGGCACCTAACATGGGCCCCTCCCTGCAACACTCATTCTCTTCCACAGACATGGTGTTTTATTTTATTTTTGGGGTGGGGGGTTCTGTGTGGCAGTTATATTTTTCCCGGTGTTTTTAGACTTTTTTTCTTGCATATCTTTAGCAGTGTGGCTGTGATGTCTCAATGAATTCTCACATAGGGTTGACTGAATATCAGGTTACTCTCCTTTTAGAGTCTCTGAGATTTGCGGGCTATAGGCTTCTAGATTTCATCAAATCTAGACAATTTTCAACCAATATTCCATAAGGACTGGTTTTTGTCTCCAATCAGGCAGACAGACAGGTAGACCAATAGAGAGGCAGACAGTGGCTCTATACCTACTCCTCTGTGCGCCAGTGTGAAAGTTTCTACTGCCATTTTTGGGCTTCTATTAATTTTTTGCATGTGGCTGATCACATCAGGAGCAGCATGTTTGGCTTCTAGATGGCCAGAAGTTTATTTCTGTACCACCATAGCTCTCCCACTCTGGGCACAGTCTCTGTTCAACAGCAACAGAGTGGACATGACTGTCCCCATGTCTGCATCTGCTGATATCAACCCTGGTAGTCTCCACAAACCTTTCTTCATGTTTGGATCGTCGTCTATCTGGGGTCTACACTTCTGAGTAAACACTGGATATGATAGAATTTATGCAGTTGGATGCAGGGTTCTCACACCTTCCTGGAAGGAGGGAGGACTGCCAGTCTTTAGGGACATCTCAAGGAGGCTCACCCTTCATCTGTGAGTGCATAACAGCCTCTGCTCCAGGGTGGACCACCCCGGCAGTGCCCAGCAAGGACCGTCCACTGTGCTTAGAACTCAGTGCCACTGGGAACTGTGTACAGCACAGCAGCCTGGCCATCCCTCACCCCACTGATGGCTCATGTTGACTGTCAGCTTGACTGGATTGAGAAATCTCTGGCAGGCATTACACGACCTCTGGGTCTATCTGAGAGTGTTTCTAGGAAGGAAATCCATCTTGAATGTGGGCAGCACCAGCAACATTACGCATCCATCTAGTGTGGCAAAGTCTTCTGAAACCATAATGGGCAGGGTAGGGCAGAGAAGGGCAGGGCTCTTCCTTTTAAAGCATTTCACATGGGCATTTGTTGCCATGGAGTGAAGGCCTCTTGATGGTGACGTGTCTGACGTGACTAGGTGTTTGGCCTGAGACTCACATTCTCTCCCCTTGTCTCATACATCCTGCCAATACCACCTTTCCATTCGTCATCTCGCCCTGGCCAGGAAACACCTCGCTCTGTTCTCTGTGGTCCCCCGGAGTCAGCCTCCAGCAGGAAGCAGGACTGTGGCCCCAGCTCCGTGTGTGCTTGCTGAAGGCCAACTCTGTGTGGTGTCTAGTCTGGCTATGTGCAGTATCAGAGCCCCACCCTACCCTACACCCTGAACGGTGCTGCCAGTTATCACTTGTGCTTTGGTAGATTGCCCAAGGTGGGCTCTCAGGGTGCGCATGGAAACCATTAAGGTATTTCTGGAGACCTCTGACCCAACCACACTAGAGAGCACACTGCAACTCTTCCACGGGAAATGTCCCCCACTGAGCTTCCTCCCCGATGTCTCCTGGTCAAAGGCTCCGTTCTGGCGTTGGGTACATGCTGTGACTATAGCTGAGTGCTTCGAAAGGACATAGGAAACACCACCCAGGCTGGACACAGCAACACTGGGAACAGCCAAGCACACTCTGCTCCTCACCCTGACCGGTGTTTGCTAGCCAGGGGCCTTTCCTGAGGGCAGGGGAGGGAGGTACAGGGACCCCAGAAAGGCTGCCATTGGTCAGAAGGCATCCCAGGGTGGCATCCAGACTCTCCATGGGGAGTCCACTTGCTCTATGCCAGGTACCAGGGACCAGAACGGGGTCTCCCAGGCCCTGCCGTCTCCCAGCTACCTGTGACAAGATCGTACCATGGTGTTGGGCAAGACACAGCTGTGAACCAGAATGGGTCAGCATGCAGAGAGACAGGACAGAGGAAGAAAGAAGGGACCTACTGGATGGGAGGGAAGAAGAAGGGAGAGGAGGAGGAAGGAGCTACCATACTCCTGCTTCCGGCTGGAGACTGACTCTGAGGGACCATGGAGCTACTTACAGGGCCTGCTTCCCCTTCTGGAGGCGTCTAAGAGGCTGAGGTTCCAGGGCCAGAGTCAATGCATGTGGAGCCCTGGGCCCAGGGCTGAATGGATGATGGAAAGAGGCAATGGCAGGAATTAGGAATAACAGGCTGAGAAGCTGGGGTCTTTCAGGATCAGGAGCCTGGGACAGGGAGGAGGAGTCCAGGGATGCTGGGAACAGGTGGCAGTGGTGTGGATCAGGCAGAGAGCAGTCATTTGTGGGGTTCAGAGCCAGGACGGTGGCTGGGTGGGTTTGAGGAAGGTACTGTGTGAGACTTCTGGGGATAGGGCCATGCCATCTGCAGGCAGGGACATAGGAAGTAGGGCCTTGGCCTGTGGGAGTGGGTGCACAGGGACAGACTGCCATCTGGGTAGGCGTGGCAGGAAGCAATGTAGACAGGAGTGGAGCTGAGACCAAGGCCAAGGGTGAGCTAGGGAGGGCCACCTTGGAGACCAGGGGTAAGAGGGTTTACCGTGGGGTTGGATGGAGGCAGCTGAGTCCTGCCAGGAGTCAAAAGATGGTGGAGCACAAGAGGGCAAGGCCCAGGGTAGGCCCAGGTGAGGGCAGTAAGGGTTGTGGTGGGATTAAGCCTGGGAAACTTGAAGACCCAGAGGAAGTGAACAGAGATGGTGTGCAAAGACCAGCCCTTGCTTTTGCTCACAGCCAGCTCTCTCTTGAACCTGCTCTGGATGACCCCAAACAAACCGCTGTACCTCCCCGTGCCTGATGTGGGAAGATGGAGTGGAGCCAGGGCTTGGGCCAGAAGGAGGGGGCAGAGGTCACCAGGGCAGAGGCTAGGCCACCTACCTGCACACAGCACACACAAAGCAGTCAGGGTGATAGGTCTTGCCAAGTGCTGACACCACTTCCCCTTCAATGAAGCGGTCACAGCTGAAGCAACGAGTGCCATAGAGCCGCTGGTAGTCACGTGTGCAGATGTGTTCACCCTGTCGTACGAAGAAGCCACCCTCGGCCAGGTCACAGCCACACGCTTGGGAGAAGATCAAAGGCTGGATTAGCAGACTGACCAACTCACGTCTCAGGGCCAGCAGATCTGACCCCACCTGTTACAAGGTCCTACAAATCCAAATGCCTAAGGTTACCCAGGATGGTACTCCAGGGACAGACACAGGCTTCGCTGCTAGCCTAGAGTCATGTGTTTTTCTTGTAGAAGTTTCCAGAAATAGGCACTGAGGAACTGAGGGCAGGACCAGCTTCCCACCATTTCTAGGGCGTGAAGAGGCTCTTTGGCCTCTAAGACCTTGTGAGCCCCTTCAAGCTGCTTCAGTGTTAGAATGGGTGAGCAGGTGTGTGCGTGTATGTATGCACACGGCAGACAGAGAGAGAGAGAGAGAGAGAGAGAGAGAGAGAGAGAGAGAGAGAGAGAGAGAGGCTGCTCTGGGTTGTCAGTGAGAAGACAGCTGAGCCCATACGTGGTCCCCTAGTCCACAGAGAAACTTCCCACTGCCTCCCCCTGGTATCTAGTTCTCACAGGTCTCAGCCCCTGGCCCCTGTAACATAGCAAGGCCAGATCCAGAGCAGAAGGAAAACCCACAGGCTCACTGTGAGCCTCTAGTCTCTTGTCTGGACACACAACTCCCTGGAGCGGAGACTGTTGAGCCTAGTGGAGGAGCAGAGAAGACTGCGTGCTGTGGACCAAAGCATCTACTCTGGGACCGCTGGTGAGCAACAGCTGGCAGGCCCCAGGTCAATTTCTGGGGACACAGTGTGCTCCTCACTCACACTCTCCAGCCCCAGAAGCACACGCGAGTGAGCCATTCAGCATCTCAGATAGAATAGCCTAGAAGTTGTCACAACAATGCCATTTGCCGAAACACGGCTCCTGGTACAAAACGAGAGGGACCTTCCATGTCATGTACATGCATGTACATTCCTTACAGCCTATGGCGGCTAGATGCCAGCCTGGAGCCATGCTGGATTCCTTCTCCACACCCAGTCTGGGAATGAAACCCAAGGTTTAATCTTGTCCCACTATAGATCAAACAAATGTTCTTCTGTGAGAACAGGCCACGGGGTTGACAGATATGCACAGGACAATACCGCTGTGCCTTGGAGACAGACAGTCACAAGTATTCAAGGTGCTGACTCTAGGCTGTGTCTGTTTGCCACAGCTGTGCCAACACTGGTCAGCCCTTGGAAGAGGAATGAGTGCAGAGACATAGAGCCGAGAGAGTCACACTATAACATAGGGAGAGGGACACAGACAGGCATGCCCCAAGCCCTGCAAGACTCCGCTGGCTCCCGGCCCTGCTGCCTCAGCTGCCTCCTGGTTTCTGGCTGCTCTGAAGATCCCAAGGTCACCCCAAGGCAGTGACATCCCAGACCTCTGCTCCTAAAAATAAAAAGTCCAAGTTCACCAGTAACTCAAGTCCCTCGTCGAGACAATGCGCCTCTATCATATTACAGTTAGAGAAGGATCAAGTTAGCAGAGGCCTGGAGGGAGTGGGGAGGTGTTCATTTTTGAGGGACATGAGGGTTGGCAGCAGCTGATGGGAGGGCAGGGTCAGGGTCACTTTTTGGAATTAGTTCTTTCTAGTGTATAATTCGTATGTCTTTGTGTGTCTATGGAGGCCAGCAGACAACGCTGGACGTCTTCCTCGGCCGCTCTCCATGTTTTCTTTTGAAACAGGGCTCTCAGATTCAGCTGCGCTGGCTGCCTGGTGAGCTCCAGGGAATCGTCCTGCCTCTGCCTACTCACCAGTGCCGGGCTAAGCCGATGCACACTCACACCTAGCTTTTTCTGCAGGTTCTGGGGTTCTGCATCCAGGCTGTAGATAGTGGCTGCTGCTCTCTGTAGGAAAGTCCCCCAGAGCGGACATGACCTTTTCTCTGGGGATGGGTGGTTTTGGAACTGTGTGAGATGACAGAATAGGCTGGCCCTCCAGCCCCCGACTCACACCCGTTCTGTCGAGTCTGCGGCGCAGGCTTTCCTGGCTATGCTGGGAGTGAGGTGCCCATGTGATCGCTTTTTTTTCTCAAGCAGCCCCAGTCACAGTCCTGGGGTGGCTATCACAAAGGATTCTGGAGTTTTTATCATGTGTGACAGTGGGGAAGGGGCTAGAAAGATGGGGTGTCATTGTGAGAAAGCATCAGGGATGCCCATGACGCCCTCAAACCTGGTGGCTCTTGGGACACCACTGAGAGCCATTGCTGGTGCCCTAGGATGAGGCCTCTGAAGGCTGGTGTCTGGCTCAGCTGAAGGCAGATCCCTCAGGGTCCCAGAATGAGACCCAGTAAGAGCTAGCCCAGGCTGTTTCCCGTCACTACCCCATAGACCATGTTTCTCCTGTGGAGGCTGACCATCCAAAACTGACAGTACCAGGGGTGTTTTGGGGGTGGCCCCTTCTGCAGAAGATTCTCTTTTCAACACCAGGACTTTCTTTATACGCTGTAGCTGGGACAGGGGACCAGAGTGGAGCGGGTAGTGCTCCTCAAACAGAAGCCCAGGCACCTCTATAGGCTCAGGGGCCAGAGAGGACCTGGAATCAAACCCCTAGATGCTCCTAGTTCTACATCCTTTCTCTAAGGTCAGTCACCAGCCTCTCTCCCTTCCCCCACACACAGCTGTCTTGGTGGGGTCACCTCCCATCTAGGGCAGCTTTATTCTTGTCTGGCAAATTTCTATCTTCAAGGTACAGCCAAATGTACCTCCTCAATGGACTCCTTTCTGGAAGCCTCTGGACGCTCCCTATAGACCTCTATGTCCCAAGGATTTGACTACTATTCTTTCTACCCTCACTGAAGGTCACCGTGATGAAGGCAGTGTCAGTCTCCAGACAGCCATGGAAATCATCACTGCCAAGTCAGAGGGCACGGGCATAGTACTTGCCCAAATTGCAGGGATGCATCCGTGGGCTCCAAAACACTATCCCTTTAACACTACCAGCTCTGTGAGACTATACGCCATGTCCAGTACTGCACCCTGTGAGTACTTTTTCTCACATTTCTTAGATGTTGGGGGGAGGTGTGCTTAGTCCCCAGCATGCACATGAAATGCAGGGCAGAGGAGAAGGTTTCAAACACAGACAGGTGTGCTAGAAAAGCTGCACACACAGGCACACCCACTGGAGAGGCCACGCACACAGGTGTACCCTCTGGAGAGGCCGTGTACACAGGCACACCCTCTGGAGAGGCCACGCACACAGGTGCACCCTCTGGAGAGGCCGTGTACACAGACACACATGCTGGAGAGGCCGCACACACAGGCACACCCGCTGGAGAGGCTGTGTACACAGGTACACCCTCTGGAGAGGCCGTGTACACAGGCACACCCTCTGGAGAGGCCGCACACACAGACACACACGCTGGAGAGGCCGTGCACACAGGCACACTCTCTGGAGAGGCTTCACACACAGGCACATCTACTGAAGAGTCCACACACACAGGCACACCTGCTGAAGAGGCCCTGCACACAGGCACACATGCTGGAGAGGCCCTGCACACACAGACACACATGCTGGAGAGGCCCTGCACACAGGCACACCTGCTGGAGAGTCTGCACACAGACACACATGCTGGAGAGGCCGCACACACAGCTTCAGGCCCTCTTCTTATCTTCTTGGTATTATTTAAGTTTACTGTTTTTTTAGGCTACTTTTTATAAGCAAGGAAAAATGAGTGACTTTCATTTAGAACGTTAACAGGGCCACTGCAGGAGGGAGGCAGCATCAGTGCAGCAATCCCCCCTGAACACTGCTTGCTACAGATTTTGCACAGCCAGCAAAGGCCGCTGGCACTCTGTGCAGTGCCCCAGTGGCTCCAGGATTGGCATCTCTGATTCTGGGCTAGCTTCATGCCTCCACCCCTGCAGACCCAGAGTCTCCCTATCTCCCTGGGAGTACTCCTTTGTCACACTAGACAGTATTCTGGAAAGACACAGGCTCAGGACTCTACAGATGCTCAAGTGTGGCCAGAGAGCTTTCCAGACCCAGAAAGCGAGAAGGGTGGCTGGGAAGCCCAGTTAGGGGTACTCTATGGCCAAGCACAAGGCCAAGTACACACTCACCTTTGCACACGAAGCACCTAATGTGGAAGTACTTGTTCTGCACGCGCAGCACCTCGCCCTTGCACACATTCCCACAGGTGCTGCACAGGATTGCCGTGCTGGCTGGCTTCTCCAGAGGGTCATGAGCAGCCTGGGGCTGCGATACTGCAGGGAGAAAGGAGCCAGGTTAAAATGAGGGACACTCAGCACAGGGAGAGCAAACAGGAGGCCTCCTGGCATGCCCTCACCCTCAGCACTGGGCCCACATAGCATGAGGTGAATGGTCATCCCCTCCTTCCCTCTGGGGTTAAGTGACATTCAAGTTGTATGACAGGTGACAGTTCTGAGGGCCAAGATCATTTGGTAAACCCACTGTGGGCTCTGTGGCTCCTCTACTTAGGGAGTTGTCGTATCCATACGGCTGCATACTTATCTATGATGTCCCAACATATCTCTGTGCACTCCTGGAGTAGCAAGGCAACCATTGTTCCCTCTGGAAGAGCAACTAACCCTTGTTATATTCATCCGTACAATGTCGACACCCAGAGTCTCAGAGGGACATCACCAACCAGACATCTCAGTGGCCCTGCAGCCCTGGGACCCTTTAGCCTCTTCTTCAGACAGCTGCATCCCTCTGAGAAATGGTCCCACATTTCCTTCGGGTCCCAAAACACCAGACTAAACATTGTCAATAACCCGCAAGAGTCAACCACAGTCAGGTAGGCAGTTGAAGGAGGCATTGAAGACCACCAGTTCAAGAGCCAGGGTTGTGGTCCTAAGACCAGGCACATCCAGGCACCAGGAATGACCCTGTGGCCTACTAAAGCACCTGCAGATGCCAGCACATGGGATGCTGGGCCGTGGTATGGAAGCCTCACGTCTGCCACTCAGCAGCCCTGTAACAGGGAAGTATCCAGGAGACTCTCAAGTTTTTACACTAAAGCAAAACTGAGTTTACTAGAGGAACTAAAGAGCCACAGGTCCCAGGTTGCCATACAGGGATCATGTGGGTCTGTGGCCAGAAGGAAGGGACTACCAGGCCCTGGCCTAGAGAGGCCACACACTCGGTTGATGCATAGACTTGCCACTCCAGCAATGGACCCAGATGTATATTGGGACATTATAGCCGTGTATGGGACATGGGGTCTCTGAAGTTCAGACAGGGAGTGAAGAGGCCAAGAAAAGGCCATTGGCTGTCCAGCATGGCCTAATATCATCAAAGGACATTTCCTGGGTAGTCAGTTGACACATGATTAAGAAAGAGGTCAGAGAGACACAGTGTAGCTAGTCTTAGGGAGGAAGGACCATGAGCCATGAGAGCTGGCATCTTCAGAAACCAGCAAAGGTGACGTGAGGGTTCCACATGCAGCTATGGAAGGAACAGCCACAGCCTCAATTTCAGCCCAGCAAACCTGCCCAGCTTCAGTCCTCCAGTGCTGTTCACCTTCATTATTGCAGTCACAGGACACACACACACAGTGACAGTGATAGAGGGGACAGAGTGGAGCACACTAGCCATCTGCCCCTCTCCCCTTGCAATGGGCAGGACCTACCACTTGCAACAGCGGTCCACAAGAGTAATCTTAACCAGCTACTGTCTGAACCATCAAGCTGAGAACAATGTAGAGCCATGCCCAGGGACTACAGATGCAGGGTGGGAATCCATGGCCTATAGCCACGAGCCAGAGAACCCGGCTCCTTCCACCACACAACCCTGTGCCATAGCCAGCCATGCAGAAGGCAGGTGTTATCTCTAGTGACATCCTGGCAGCTAAACCACACCTTTGCAGCATGATCCAACAAGCCCAAAATGGGATTGCTCACCTACAGGGGCTGCCTGACCTCTGCCTCTGTCTCCCACCTAGGACCGGCCATAGAAGCCTCTAACCTGTCACTCAGACATCTACCTCGAGGTGCCACTTCAGCTTACCCAGGCCAATAGCTTCTGGGGGTTCTCTTCACCCTCCCTCTTCCACAGTACTTTTCCCACCTCTGTGACCTATGCTAGTCTGAAGACCTCAGTAACAGTGGTGGCCCCTCAGCAGCAGCATGATGCAGCCCACAGCCTTTGCTGTCACAGGCAGCTGGTCTCTATGCCCACATCCTCCCAGCCAGCACCTTGACCTGGCCATGGTGGAACTTCCATGACACTTGCCCCCTCTCCCTTCACTACTGAACTGGATCAGAAATATCTGCCCATACTATAGAAAGCTGGCAGGAGGCCAGAGAGCCAGGGCCTCTGACTCAGCGGGACTTTGAGAGACTCCGTGTTGCCAGGGCTTTTGGCTATGTCAATGCTCACAGCTGTGCATGGCTGGTCCAGGGGGGGTCATCCGTGTGAGTCACTCTAGTCCTGTGTGGCTCAGAGATACAGGGTGGGGCAGTGCTCCAGAACGTTTATGCCCTCCCAGTTTGGGACACAAAGGACAATGGGCAGCATCTTCTCTTGATCAGACAAGGCCGGGATTATATGGCCTGAATCTGGCTCAAAGCCAAGGTGAGCAAGAAGTCATCTTCAGATTTTGGGGTCCCATAAGCCGTGGGGTGAGCTGGTCTGGGATACAGTCTCAGCTCTGCCTCTTGTGGGGTGTGACTTTGAGAGAGTTCTTGTCCATCCTACTCCACTCACCCCCAGCTCCCCACCCCCGCCTTTCCATCTGTCCTGCACATCCACCCACCCTCTGACTTCGATCTGTCCTTCCATCTGTCCTTTCCAACCACCCACCCTCTGCTCACATCCCTGGTCCTGGGGGAAACCAGGATCAAGGGCAGAAGGATTTGCTTAGCAACCAGCCCAGCAAACACTGATGTTTTCCATAACAATGACCACCATGTATTCAGGACTATGTGGGGGCTGGGTGTGGCTCAGAAGCACAGCACTTGCCTAGCCTGCAAAGACCCTGAATTCCATCCCCAGCACCAGTTCCTAAGTTACTGGAAATGCATCTGGTTTGAGGGTAGAGCTATATTAAGAGTGTGGATTTGCTGGCCCGATCCCACTCTGCCCACTAGAGCTGCCTGGAGCTGTGGATCTGGTAGTGGTGCTGCCCTCTGGTGGTTAGAAGGAGAGCTGAGCTAGGCCAAGAGAGGGATGCCAGGAAAAGCCTGCTAAGCATCCCTCTAGACTAGTGAACTGGTTGCAGATTTGACGTGCACATCTTTTGCCCCTAGTAGTATTCAGCCCTAGAACCTGATGCAGTTGTGGACTAGCAAGGTCAAGTGTACCCACGGAGAGGTAATAGCAAGCCTGCCCGTCCTGCTTGCTTCCTTCTCATTCCACCCTGTCAGTGCTTCTCAGAGTAGCAGGCAGAATCAGGCCATCTCCAGCTACTTGTGGACAACAAGACAGTCAGACAGATAGGAGGACATCAGGCAAGAAGAGTCCCCGACTGTCCCGTGCGGCATTGGGCATCTATGAGGGGAGGGGGGGACAATGACAGGGAGCTGAATGCTGGCAGAGGAGGAGTACTCAGGATGCAGGGATTTGGTGTGGTTCATCCAGTGACCCTAAAACCACGAAGCAAAGCTGAACAAGCTGTCCTTGAAGGTCAAAGACAGCCTGGCAACCAGGGGCACATAACTGTTAAGAAAAAGCAATCTTTTCAACTAATAAACTACCCGAACAAAGCCAACAAAGACCTAGGCGCCTCTGAGGCAGACATCTCTGTCCTTGCTTGGCTTGGGCTGGGCAGGGCACAGATTCCCCCTTCCCTGGCTCCAGGCCAGATGCTGTGAAGTCAGTCACCAGGGAACACAACAGTGTAACTTGTAGCCTTCTTTTCAGCACCCTCCTGAGGGGTCTGTTTAGCCCTCCTGACACCCCTGTGAAGCCAACATGGTGCTTACCTCACAAGCAAGGAACTTGAGGCCAAAAGCAGCTGAATAGGACATGGTCAGCCATGCCAAGACTTGGAAAGACCAATCAGGAGGGGGCAGGGAGGCAATCCTGAGGCTCATAAGAGGGCCAATAATCCAGGGGACCCAGAATTTTCAAATGTCTTTGGTGAGTCCAAATCATCCCATAGCTGTTTATCCCAGTGACTTTGGCTGGATACATGGCTGGGACCTGACTATGTCTGTCCCATCAGAGGGCCTCTCTCTGGGCTGCATTTGAGAGAGCAGGCATCACTCAAGGCCTGAAACCCTACATCTTGTTCCAACTTGGGAGGAAGGGGCTTCGCAGGACAGAAGGCTTGCTCCCTCCCAGGAGGCTGATCTGGGGCCTAGAATCAGTAGAGCCGAGGAATGAAACCCTTGAGCATCTTGGTCCGAGGTGAAGCATCCTGGCATCTCCCAAAGGAGCAGCTGATAAGGCACCCACACTCCCAGCTTCATCAGACACCAGCTTCATTTCTAGGCATCTATGCTCACTTTTCAGGGCCTGTCAATCTCCAGCGTCCCCTGCCAACCCCAGCTCTAGTTCACAGAATCACAGCTGGTGGTTTCTTCTGGGCTTCCTAGTCATTCCTGGATATGCACGGGCTCCTTAGAGCCTGAGCTGAAGGCCTCTGGGTCTCCACCTCCACCTTAAGAGCAAACCCCTGTGCCCCTGCCTCTAGAAAGTTCTCCAGGATTTCCCCAGGCTGGCAGGCCTTCACACCTGACTGCAGGCACCTGGGCATGGCATCTGCATGCTAGAGGGTCACTGCCATCTGTCTGTCAACTGCCCCGGACAGGGAAGGCCTTGGAAGGAGTCAAGTGACTCAAAGCCTGTCATGATGGACTTGCGGGATTGAGATGAGGCAGAAGTCTCTTGTATGCCTCCAGCAGGGCAGCAGAGAAACCCCTGGGCATGGAAGGTGACTTAGCATTAAGCAGAACTGGATGCCGATCCCTGAGGAGCTACGGAGGGACCGTAAACACATGTCACCAAGGGAAAGCAGCCAATCTGGAAATGCTGCAGCCCATGATTTCCACCACGGTTTTCTGGAAAAGGCAAACCTGGCAACAGTTGGTAAGTGGCTGCCGGGTGAGGTGGCGCACGCCTCTAATGCAAGCACTTGAGGCACACTCAGCCAGAGCTCTGTGAGTTCAAGGCCAACATGGTCTCTAGAGCCGGTTTAGGGTTGGGAGAGGGGAATGAACTGGGAAACTCTAAGAGCAGCCTGATAACACTGGAAAGGTGGAGGCATGTCATAGTATCTGTCTAAATCCACAGGACCTAC